CACTTCGCAGCTCTGTGCACGCGAGGGCTTTGTGCTGCTGAGACTGGCTGGCTGCCTGCGCTCATGTGTGCCCAGAACCCACCTGCCTCGGCCTCCCCGCCTAAGGCCCTGAGTGTTTGGACCCCTGCTGCCTCGGGCTGTGGCCCAGTGTTCAGGCTCCGTGAGCGGTGAGCGCGCCTCCTGGAGCCCTTGCTTCTGGTGACTTTGGGGGTGCACCCGGACCCCTAGCTTCGGGCAGCCTATTTTAAATTTTGGGGTCATCCTGCAGGCCTCGCCCAGCCTCCTCCCGCCTCTCTGGCGCCTGCTCTTTTGTCCCTGGGGATTCATGAGTCTCGGTGCTTTGTACCCAAGCCCTCCCCCACTCCGCGTTTCCAGGGGCTCAGAGCAGGCCGCCTCCCCAGTCCTGGTCGGGGGTAGCTGCTGGACCGCGAAGCGCGGGTCCGCGCACGGAGCCCCCGCGGAGCAGCCACCCCGCCGGCCGCAGGAGGCCCCGCGGGTCCCGGGGCGCCTGCGCGGACCGCGGCGGGCGCGGGGAGGGGCGCGGGGCGGGGCCGTGCGCCCGCCGCCCGGGCCTGGCCGCGCAGGACCCCTGCCCTGTCCCCGCAGGTGTGTGAGCCGCCGCCGCGCGGGCGCCCGAGCCGCCACTGGAGCGTCAGCATCGACGAGCGCCGGCGGCTGGCCGTGTTGGGCGCCCGGGAGAGGCCGGACGTCGCCAGGGACGCCTCCCGCTGCACGGTGCGCTGGCGCGGAGGCCTTTGCCCCTCCCTGCGGCCGCGCTTCCCGGCCTCGCGCGCGCCTGACCCCTTCTGCCACCCGCAGGACATCGCGCAGATGGTGGCAGAGCTGGTGTCCGAGGACGTGGACAGAGACGTGCTGCTCCCCCAGCCGCCGCGCTCCGCGGCGTCCACCAACGCCTTCCAAGCCTTCCTGACCCGGAGCGCGCCCTTCTGGCAGCACGCGACTGTCCAGGCCCGGACCTCGAGGCCGCCCCCTCCTTAAGAGCCCGCTCAGCCCAGCGTCTGGCGTCCGGCGCGTTTCCTTGGGGCCTAGGGTGGGCAGTGGGCAGCCCTGTCTGCGTGGCACCAGGGAGCACTGACGGGGGTGGGGGGAGCAGCAGGACAGAGAGGACCTCTGGGGACCCTCCTCCGCCCTCCTCCTCCACGGCTGCACAGGGGGCGGAGCGCTGAGGGGGGTGTGGGGGAAGCTTGACCCCCAGGCAGCCGAATCCCGACCTCCTCCCCAGGGGGAGGCGGTCCAGTGATGACTGCCCAGGGTCTGTGTCCTGAGGCCCTGCGGCGGGGGGGGGGTGTCTGGCCCAGGGTCCCTGTGTGCCCATCTCAGAGGCTCCCTGGAGAAGGCCACACCTCCCAGCCTCTGCCATCAAACCTGGTGGTGGGCGGGGCCGGCGGGGCCCAGGCCTGCGGTGGTGACTTGTCTGCAGGTGGTGGCCCTCAGACGCTCCGGGGCTGGAGGGGACGGGGGGGGGGGGGCGGGGGTCCTGCAGTCAGTGAGTGCCTCTGCAGACACTGGGACCCCCTACACCTGCCTGCCTGCCAGGGCCCACACCCCTGCTGGCCCTGGACACTGGATTCCCAGCCCCACAGGAGTCCCCTGCTCCTGCCTCCCTCCCCTCCTCCCCCCATGTCTTGAGGATGGTGCTGCCTCCTCTAGGAAGCCTTCCAGGGTCACACAGCTGGTGCTGCTTCACCCCATCTCTCTGCAGCGCCCTGCTGGAACCTCTCGGGCCCCCTGGGGCTGACCATAGAGACACGGCCACTGTGGGGACGTCCTGAGGGATGGGGGAAGGAGGTGGGGGGCGTTGGGCAGGGCCCCAGAGGACATCAGGGCCCCACTCCCCTCCTCGGGGGAGTAGAGTCGGGGGCCTGGCGGGGCCTGTCCTGCCAGGTCTGGTCTCACTTGGGCACCCCCGAAGCTGGGGTCAGTGGTGGGGCACTGGGATGGCCCTGAGGGCTGCTTTCAGGGAACCTGCCCCTGGGCAGCAGCAGCTGACCCCAGCGCCCCTCTGCCGCCCTCTGGTGGTGGAAGTGGCCACCCTCCTCAGTAGGAAGGCTGGGTCTCTGGGACCACTGACAGCACCGGTTCTTCCAGCAGAGTGTGGTTCTGGGGACGGGGATGCCTGGAGACTGTTTTGGTGTCACAGCTGGGTTTGTAGCTGCTGCCAGGACACGGTACCCAAGGTACCTGGGCGAAGATGGCGATGCGGGCAGAGCTGTGTCCCGTGAGTGCTCAGGGAACCCCACTGGACCATGCCCAGTTTGAGGCTGACCGGCGTCACCAAGCACAGGCTCTGGGCACAGTCCTGTGGCTCTCGGGCAAGGAGCGAGCTGCTCCCACAGGATGGTGCCTGGCGGGGGAACCCTGGGACGGAGCGGCCGGGTCACCCTAGGATATGCAGAACGGGGCTTCGCAGCTTGTGGAACCGAGAGGAGCTGGAGACCCAGCCAAAGTCCACGGCACGGTGTGGTGAGGGTGTTGCCTCTGCCCGCTGCTGCTGTGTGACCACACGGCCGTGCCGGCCAGCCAAGCCTGCTCCCCAGACGCGGGGCTGCTGCTCGGGGGTCCTCGTGGAGCAGGGGTCCCCTTGGCAGGCGCCCTGAGGCTGGCCCCATAGCCCACTGGCCCCTGAGTGCCCCGAGCCACCAGCCACACTGGCTCTCTGGGAGAGGACACCTGTGGCCTCCTCCAGGGCCACTGGGTGGTGGTGCCCAGCGCCGCCGTTTGTTGGCTTTGCAAAAATACTTGTTTACTAGTAAACTAAACGACAGAGCCAAGGACGCCTCCTCCTGGGACGCCCCCTCCTGGGACGCCAGCCTCAGGCACCCTCAGGCACCCGCAGGAGCGCTGATTTGAGTGCCGCTGCTCCTCTTCTGATCCAGCTCCCTGCTAATGTGCCTGGGCCTCTGCACCTGTGGAGACCCGCAGGCGGCTCCCGACTCCTGGCCCGGCCCAGCCCCAGCCCCAGGGCATCTGGGAGTGAACCAGCAGATAGATGGAAGATCTCTCTCTGTGTAACTCTGCCTTTAAATATATAAATAAATCTTAAAAAAAACCTCACAGTTCATAAACACACACCCAGAATTTGATCACTATCACTGGAGTAACGGCTGTGAAGATCGCTCCAGATATTTCTGTGTCTAAAGGTTTTATTTATTTCAGAGGTAGAGCCACAGGCGGAGGGAGAGGCAGAGAGAGCATCTCCCAGCACTGGGTCACTCTCCAGATGCCCACAAGGGGCTGGGGCTGGGCCGGGAGCTGCAGGGGCTCTCCCACGGGCTGGCGGGGCCCAGGCACTGTCCAGGCCTCGTGCCGGGAGCCAGCTCTGAGGCTTGGACGCTCTCCCGAGATCTGAGCCCCTGCGTGTTGAATTTGGGCACCGAAGACCCCAGGACCAGCGGCACTCACGCCTTGCTGGGGCCGCTTGCCCAGCGCGTGCACAGCTGCCTGGCTCTGGCCATGACTGAGGGCAGGGCCGTGGTGTGGGGTGCACCTGGGTGCCACGTCCCTCAGGAAAGCGCCCGACTGGGCAGCGGCCTCTGGGCACTGCCCTCTGTGGCCTCTCTCCAGCGGCTGGCCTGGCCCTGCAGCAGGCCTCTCTCCCTCAAGCTGGGAGCAGGGACTGCTGGTCGCCGCCTCCGGGCAGCTTCCGGCGGCGGCCCTGGGCCTTCGTGGGGGGGGGGGGGGCTGGTGGAGGGGCTCTTGGGCGCGGCTTGAGGCCTGTGAGCAGGACGCGGGTAGCGTCCCACCTGCTCCCCCCACCCAGGCAGCTCTTCGGCCAGCCGTGAAGGAAGCACCCCGGGTCCCACCCAGCAACTCAACTCCAGGCCCGCTGGCCGCCTCTCCAGGACTCCCACCCCAACGGCCCTGACCACACCAGCCCCGGGGCCCCAGCCTCCCTCCAAGCGTCAGCTCCCCATCGCGCCCCCCAGGCCGGACCTCGTCTCCCTCCCACCGCAGCCCGGGCCGTGCGACCCTCAGGCCTTCCCCGAGCGCGGGGCACGCAGTCACGTTGCGCCGGGCGTTGCGGGAAGCCCCGGTGCGGCGCCCGCTTGGCCCCGCAGAGCGCAGGGAGCGGCCTGCACCCCGGGCGAGACCCGGCCGCCGAGTCCGGGGCTGCCCGCGGGGGCTGCCCGCTGAGCGTCGGGGACACAGAAGGCTCAGCACTGGCGCCAAAGGCTGGGCCCCGCGGGGCGGCCGCCTCCAGGCCAGACCTGAACCCCCGAGCTTCGGGGCAGGCCGGCAGTCGTCCCCGGGGGTGCTGGGGGTGCAGACCCCGCCGGGGCAGGCGCGGCGGGAGGCTCCGGCCGGGGCGCGGGGGCGAGCTCCGCCGGGCAGGCGCGCGGCCGCGGCGGCGCGGGGTCGGGTAACGGCCCGCGCGGTGGGCGGCGGCGCCCGAGGCCCCTCCCCGTGCGGCCGCTCCTCCCCTTCCTCTCCCGCCCGCGCCGCGGCCCTCCCGTCCCTGCGCGGCCTCGGCGGCCTCGGCGGCGGCGGCGGCGGCGGCGGCGGCAGCTGCAGCAGCGCGGCCCCTTTAAACCGCCCGCCCCGGCCCGCGCCGCCCCCGCCCCAGCCTCCATTTTCCGGCCGCCCGCGCCGCGCGCCGCGCCCGCCCGCGGCCCCGCCGCCGCCGCCGGCCCGGACATGGCCGCCAACATGTACAGGGTCGGAGGTAAGGCCCGGCGCCGCCTTTATGCGCCGCGGCGCGGCCCCGCCGCCCCCCGGGCCCGGCCCGCGCCCCCGCCCCGGCCCCGCGGCGCGCCGCCCCTCCCCCACCCGCCCCCGCGGCGCGGCCTCGGCCGCCCCCGCCCCGCCGCACCCCTCCGCGCGGCCCCCGCCCCTGCCGCCCCGACCCAAAATGGCCCCGGGCCGGCCCGGCCGGGCCGGTGGGCGGGGGTGGGCGAGCTGCCCGGGCGGCGGGGGCTGGCCCACCTGTTGGGCCGGGGGCGGCTGCGGGGTGCGGGCCGGGAGCCGTGCGCGGCCCTCGCCGGCGCGGGGGCCTCCTCCGGGGTCCGGCCTGGCGGGAGCCCCCGAGCGGAGCACGTGGCCGGGCTGGCGCGCGCCGCCGCGGGAGTTCGGGGGCGTTGGGCTGTGGGGGCGCCGGGGCGCCAGCGCCGCGGAGCCGGGTTTCTCCGGGGCTTGGGGGCGGCCTCCCCGCGAGCCGCTCCTGCAGCTGGGCCTGGGGCCGTCCCGTGGGGGCCGCGCTGGGGATGGGGGCTCGTCAGCGGGGACCCTCATCCCCAGTAGCCTCCAAGTCACCCCAAACTTTTCGCTGCCTCCTGCTCACCCCAGCCCAGCGAGGCAGCGCCGGGTGAGGCCTGGGCGGGGGGCGGCCGGTTCTCCTTGGGCCCGGGCCTCGCCCCAGTTTGCGTGTGCGTGTGCGGGCGCGGGCGGCTGCGTGGGGTCCCGCGTTGTGCCTCAGGTAGGCCCTTCCCAGCCCGGGGTGGCGCCCCCCCGTCGTGAGCCGCCCTTCCCACCGCGGAGTGACCCCGCAGGGCAGGCATAGCTGTGGAAGTACCCCCCGATCCTGTCCGCACCCCCCCCTTCTCCACCGAGGCCTGAGCCGGACATGGAGTCTGGGTTGAGCGTGGTCCAGCCAGGCCAGCCCTGCAGCCTGGGCCCGGTGTGCCCGGGGCCCTCTGGTGTTCGGGGTGGGCAGTGACCAGCTCACACCTTTGCCCGCGGGGCCCTGGGTGGACACAGGCAGTCCACACTCCCTGCCAAGATGCTGGGGGACAGGGGCCCTTCGTCCACCTCCCTGGCCCGCGCTGCTGCCCCAGGGAGCTCCTGGCTGGTGACTCCCAGCCCCAGTGGAGGGACGAGTGAGGGAGCAGAATGGCACCTCCCAGCTTTGGTGGCCATGCCATGCGGGGGGTGGGGGGGTGGGCTCTGGAGGGAAGGACCCCTGCCCAGGCCCCCAGCCCAGCAGGCGGGACACCTCCTGCCTGGGATGTGCCTGGGGAGCTTCTCCCTCTGCCCCCCCAGTCCAGGCTGGACCCTGTCGTGGTGGCCCCTGCACAGCGTGCCTCAGTTTCCCTGTGCCCTGCAGCAGCTCCCCAGGGCCCACCTGGGTGCCTTGAGGGCGGGGCGGCTTGGATCTGGAGCCCAGGGTGCCGGGTGGAGCCAGCTTCTACTTCCTGTCTGTGGCTGGGGTTGCAGAGCCTGAGGCAGAATTGGGGTCGTGGCCCCAGGAACCCCAGAGGTGGGCCCCATGCCATCTACACGGAGCCGCACATGCCGTGTGCCCATGGTAGACGGCTGTTGGCATCTCGGCTCAGCATTGCCTGAGCCCCCAGGTGGGGGACAGGAAGGCGCTGCCCCTCTGACAGCGGGCCTCTCGTCCTGCCGTGGCCTGGGGGAGTGGCCAGTGAGGGACCGGCCCTGGGCGGGGCCTGTTCCTGTGGTCTTGTCCTGGCCCAGCCTCCTGGGAAAGGCCAGGCCCATGGGCCTTTCAGAGCGCAGAACTGGGGTCTCAGTGCGTGGGACATACGTGTGCTAGAAAGTTCTAATGACATCACATTGCCCGGAGTCCTGTGTCTTAGCTGGGGGGCTGCAGGTGCCACGGCCAGGTTTTGTGCCAGCTGCCTAGGCAGAGAGGCCCGGCCTTGGACAGGGGCCCTGGCCGGGGTCAGGGTTCCTGGACCTCTGGGCAGTCTTCTGCCAGTGTGATTGGCGTGTGTCCCGGCCGCTGTACCCACCGCTCCTGCAGTTTGGGGTTCTGTTCTCTGTTCCCCCACCCTGGGCAGCTTTCGCTCGGTCCTGATGTCCTGTGCTTGCAGAAGGGGACAGGGCCCGGAGCTGCAGGGGCGTGAGGCCGCGTTGGGCCCTGCTTTTGCACCCTGCCTCCTGCTGGTGCGTGGACTTCTTTTGTTGTAGCCCTGGTGTTTATTTTTCCATGGACGCTCTTTGGTCAAGTAAGGCGTTCCCCAGGATGGAGACCCCGGCTGGGACAGAGACCGTCCCCTGTGTGGCTGTGGTCGCCCCGCCCCCTGCACAGGGGCGGCCTCTGGAAGCTGCTGGCTCTCCTCCCTGGCAGCGAGACGCGGAGTCTGCCGTCCACAGTGGGGACCTGGGACGTGGGCCGAGGGGCACGGGCGGACCTGGGGGTCTGTCCGGGGGGACAGCTGCCAGCCTCCGTCTGGGCGCCCCTACCCCCAGCAGCAGGGGGCCTCTGCGCCTGCTTTGGGGCTGTCTTATTGTTTTAAGAGAAACATTTGGCCGCTGAGCTCTTGGGTTAATAACAAAAGCAATTGGAACGGATGGTCTAGGAAGCAGTCTCTGGCCGTGGCCGTGGCCGCTGGACGTCATACTCCGAGCCCAGCAGGTGAGGAAGGACTGTTCTGGGGACCCTGGCACCCAGTGTGCCTTCTCTGGAGGGTGTTCCTCCTCGTGTCCCGCTGCCCCTCGCCTTGTCTTCCTAGTGGCAATAAGGCAGAGCTGGACAGGGGGCGTGGGGGTCACAGCCCATCCCCCAGGCCCGAAGGCCCAGTTCTGCACCTCCTGGTGCCAGGCTGTGCCACAGCTGCTGCGGGGATGAGCTGGCCGGGGAAGGACATGGTGCTGCCCCCCCTGAAAGCTGCTTAGCAGCCTGTGAGTGCGGGTCGCGGCCCCTGACCCACTCTGCTTTCTGTCCCTGACTGGGCTCTGCAGAGGGCCTGCATCTGGCTGACCCCTGGCCGGGGCCACATGCTCTCTTGCAGAGATGAGATTCCTGGAGCCGGCGTTGTGCTGAGGGTCTCGGTTCTGCTGCCGTCCGCCCTGTGTTGACCACAGCACAGCGTGGGTGAACGAGGGGCTGTGGACAGCCAGGGAGCACGGCCTGCAGGTGTCCCCCCAAGAGGGGAATGTGGCTCAGGTGTCCTGAGCTCTTGCTGGGGCTGGGGAGTGGCAGGTGGAGATGCTGCACCTGCGCGCAGACGCTGGGCCCAGAGCTCCTGGGCGCTTTGCCCTGCTTTTCCCGGGTCTGCTCCGTCGCAGCTCCTGCCAGTAAGAGCTGCTGTGTGTGAGTGAGGGGAGAGGTCTGCCACCCACTGGTCACTCCCCAAATGGCCGCATTGGACGGGGCTGGGTCAGGCCGGAGTCAGGAGCTTCATCCGGGTCCCCCATGCACCTGGGTCAGTTTCCCTGCTCTCCCAGGACGTCAGCAGGGAGCTGGGTCTAGCCCGGGCTCCTGTGCGGTGGCAGCACCACAGGCCCCTTGGTGAGGGTTCTGGGCGTGTTCTTCACGAACGTGCACAGTTGTGTGGTTTTTGGCAAATGTGCATGGGTATGTGACCACCACAGGTCCTCATCACGTGCCAGTAATGCCACGAGTGCCCCGTGCCTCTCCCAGCAAACATGGGTCCATTTCCTGTCCCTGCAGTTCCCCGGCCAGGACACCGTGTCGGAGTGGAGTCCCACAGTCCCAAGCCCCTCTTGCTCCCGCGTGTGGCTGCACACAGGCGGCGTGGGTGAAGGTGCCAGCGGCTGCCACCCACCATGATCCCGCCAGGCCCTTGCCGGCAGCCACGGAAGCACCTGTGCCCGTGTCTTGGGCCATCCCCACGGAGGAGGCTGCACGCACCTTTGAGCTGTTGTATTTGTGATGTATTTTCACTTCTTGAAAGGCAGAGCGGCAGAGAGATCTTCCATTCTGTGGTTCATTCCCCAGATGCACATAGCAGCCAGGGCTGGACCAGGCCCAAGCCAGGAGCCAGGAGCTCTGGCCAGGTCTCCCGCGTGGGTGCAGGAACCCAAGCACGGGCTCCCCGGCGTGGGTCGAGGGCCCAGAGAGCTTGTGAGTGGCAGTGCTGCAGCCGACGGCGCTCGTGCGTTTTGTGCAGCTGAGAACTGCCCAGGCCGGCGTCATGTGCTGTGCACCTCTGGAGCGGGCTCTGCCTTCATGGCCCACGGCCTGCTCGAGTCGCGGGGGCTCAGCCCAGCCAGCCCAGGGGCTGTGGCTCCCCCGACTCGGCTGTGCTCTGTGTCACTGACCTGTTCTGTGGCTTGCTTTTCTCAGAAGGTTTGCAATTGGCTCGTTCATTTCTGTGAAACAGGATGAATGGAGGTGGGTGGGGGCCACGCAGAAGCCGTCGTGGGAGACGGCGTGGCCGAAACCGCTGTTGTGGCCCGGGCGGCCCTCTGCCTGTCTGGGTGACACGGGAAAAAAGAAACTTTCGTGAAATGTAGACTTCAGCCCCCGCCAGTAACGCCTGGTGGGCAGAACCGAACGCGCGCGGTCACTCGTGTTCCAGGCGGGGCCTTGCACGTGTGATGGGCACGACTGGTGCCTCTGAGCACGGGGAAGCCAGAGCGTGCTGCTCATTCTCAGCCCAGCACACAGCAGTCCCTGGTCCCCAAGCCTTGGGCCTTTCCCCTGGCCAGCCACGGTCCGCCCTCCAGGGGACGCTCTTGCCCAGGCAGCGCCGTGAGGCTGAGGCGGAGGTGTGGATTCCAGGTTGTCACTTGGCGCTTCTGCCTGCCCGGTGACAGGTCGGGGTTTCCGCCATCCCTGCCTTGGCTGTGATCACCTTGGGCAGACACTTTCCTTGGGGTTCCCTGTTTGTCACAGGGCACGTTACAAAGGACACAGCCGTGCAGGGTGGGGCTCCCATGCCCCGTGGTGCAGCCCTCCACAGGGTCCCAAGCCTCACTGAGCAGCCGTGGGTACAGTCCCCGACTCGGCCTCCAGTCCCCTCACCTCCCCAGGGGCTCTCCCGGGCTGGTCTCAAGCCTCGGCCTGCCTCTGCCTCAGCACATGGAGCCAGGGGCCAGGGCAGAGGCTGAGGGTCTGTCTGCACTGTCCCCGCCGCAGCTCTGCTTCCGCAGGTGAGACCCTGCGTGCATCACTGGCAGGTGCGTGCGCCACCCCTGGTGTGGTGGGGTCTCGCTCCTCGGCTGGCAGGGCAGCATGGACTGGGGCCCAGAGTTCCCGAGTGGGGAGCCGGTGGGAACGCGTCCAGAGAGGCTGGGCAGGCGCTGGGCAGGGCCGCGGGACGTGGCTCGGCTGCAGGACGACTGGGAGCCCAGGTGCCCGTTCCTCCCCATCCGACCGTCAGTCCCGAGGATTTTTGTCAAAGTTTCTTGACTTTATCATGAGCAGCTGGACGACTTGCTGTGTCTTATTGTTTATTTTAAATGATTTTTTCTTTGAAAGGCAGAATTACAGAGGGAGAGAGGAAGGTCTTCCATCCATCCTGTGGTTCAGTCCCCATACGGCTGCGATGGCCAGGCTGGAGCCAGGAGCTCCATCTTCTGCTGCCTTTCCAGGCCATAGCAGAGAAGCCGGAACTCAACTGGTGCCCGTGTGGGAAGCTGGTGTCGTAGGTGGTGGCTTAGCCTGCTGTGCCCTAGCACCAGCCAAGGCTGAGTAGTGTGAGAAGAATTGTTCACCACGGTCAGCCACCACCAAGTGAGCTCGGCAGCTTGTCCGCGCCGGCCCGCTGCTCAGGGATCCCTGGTGGCCGCAGCCGCCCAGGGCGGGGAGTGGGCTCACGGCAGGCTGGCCTGCAGGGCCGCTGCCAGCCGAGCACTCTCGCTTCCGCCGTGCCTGGAAGCCGCTGGTCGTGGGGTGAGGGTCTCAGATGCCCTTCAGGTCCAGAGGTGTGCTGGAAGGGGTCCCGGAACTCCGCGCAGCTGTTGGGCACGTGGCTGCAGTTGAAGGCGGGAGACGGTTCGGGGAGACCAGTGTGGGCTGCAGGTGCTCTCGCCCGGTGCAGGTTCCCAGCCTCAGGTGGTGTCAAGGTTTCTGTATTTGAAGGGGAAAGTGACAGAGAGGGAGAGAGGTCTGTACCTGCTGGCCTGCTCCCCAGATGACCGCAGTGGGTGGAGCCAGAAGCTCCGCCAGGTCTCCTGTGCAGGTGCAGGGGCCCAAGCCCTTGAGCACCACCTGCCGCCTCCCGGGGTGCCTTGGGAGGTGGCTGGGACGGGAACTGCTCTCACACAGGATGTGGGCGCTGCAGGTGGTGGCTTGGCTGCCTGTGCCCTCGTGCTCATCCTTCCAGTATTAAAAACCTTTTTGTGGATTTTTTTTAAAGATTTATTTATCTGAAAGGCAGAATTATGGGGTGGGTGTTGGAGATCCTTTGTCCCTTGGTTCACTCCACAGATTGCCACAACGACCAGGGCTGGGCCAGGCTGAAGCCAGGAGCTTCTTCCCGGTCTCCCACATGGGTGCAGGGGCCATGCACTTGGGCCATCAGCAGAGAGCTGGGTGGGAAGCGGATGTGGCCATGAGGTGAGACGTGCACCAAGAGCCTTTCTCGGGAGCAGGGCTGGGGTTTCTCTGACCGCCCCGTGACACGTGGGTGGTGGCCCTGTGGTCTCTGCTCTGGCTCTGAGGGCTGGAGCAGCATGCGTCCCGATCAGCTCGGGCAGTCTGCCTCTCAGGGCCCCTGCTGAGCTCAGAGGTTCGGGGGAGCTGCAGGGGAGCTGGCGTTGGCTGTCGCCACACCCCGACCCAGTCACAGCAGAAGCCCCTCGCCCCTGGGTGTGTGGCTGCCGTGGATTTGTCGGCTGGTGCTTTGGATTGGCCACTTGGGTTTCACTCTTTCCATCATGGCCGTCTCCTGCTTCCCCTCCCTCGCCAAGGCATGACTGGCACCACCACAGCGCTCGGCCTGGCCTCCCTGCCACGGTGCTGGGTGGTGGCCGGCTTGTGAGCTCTCGCCTCCGTGAGATGCACAGACCCCGGCCTCCCCACAGGGGGATGTTCTAGATTTTGCAAGGGTGGGTATATGGGGTTTAATTTGCTGTGTCTGGGCCGTAGGAGTGAAAGCTTAGGTTACTGATGGAGAGCTTTTTGGAAAAGCTTTGTTGAGACGTAATCTGTACGTGGTGAGACGTAATCTGTATGTGATGAGACTTAGCTGAGCAGAGAATCCAGCAGCTGTTAGTGCTTCGTTTTATTTTTATTTATTTGGAAGTTACAGAAAGGCAGAGCTGGGAGTGTGCTCTGCCATCTGCTGGCTCACTTCCCAGATGAATGCAGTGGTCAGAGCAGGGCGATCCAAAGCCAGGAGCCAGGAGCTTCTTCCAGATGCAGGGGTGCAGGGGCCCGAGCACTTGGCCATCTTCCACTGCTTTCTCAGGCCACAGCAGGAAGCTGGATTGGAAGTGGAGCAGCCGGGACTAGAACCGGTGCCCACCTGGGACGCTGGCGCTGCCGGCGGCCCCGAGCTGTTGCACAGCGTGGCCTCAGTGCAGGGCCCTCCTGCCACCTGGGAGGGAACCTGGCTGTCACTTCCGTCCTTTCCCAGTTGCCCTTTGGCTGGTGGGCAGCCCATGGGTTTTGGTAGCACCGACTGGTTTATTCTCCCCTGGGGGCACTGGTGCCAGCAACACAAGATGCCCCCAGCCACCTCGCAGAAGCTCACAGCACGGCCCTGACCTCTGCTGGACAGGGGCTCCTTTGGTGCTGCCCTTGCTGGGGTTTGCTCCCTGTCCCCTTGGGAGCACTGGGCCGGGGGTGGCTGCACCTGTAGCCCTCACCCGCAGAGCAGGTGTGAGGTGGTGGCTGTGACCTTGCCTTCCTGGGCCTCCCCACAAGGAGAGGTGTCACCTGGTGGCTGGTCCCAGGGGACCTTGTGGACGGCACTCTGATGTCCCTGTGCTTGGATGAGGGTGACTTTGTCTGGGGGCTGCTCTGCCCTGTGAGTTGTGTCTTTGGAAGGAAGTTCGGCAGAGCTGCGGCATGGGCGTGAGACCAGTGGGAGCCAATAGGGCGGGCCTTGCAGGAAGGCGTCCCCAGGGCTGTGGGCAGGGGAAGCCCTGCACGCTGCTGGGCTGGGTCCCTGCGCCTCCCTCCTTGGGTGCCTCCCTGCTCCTGCCTTGGTGCCCCGGAGCTCCGAGTGACGCCCTCTCCTGTTCACAGACTACGTCTACTTCGAGAACTCGTCCAGCAACCCGTACCTGATCCGGAGGATCGAGGAGCTCAACAAGGTATGTGGCTCCTAGCGCTGGCCCTGCCCAGGGACCCAGTGTGGATGACCGCCTCCGGTGGCTCTGTCTGCTGGCCCACTCGGGGCCACAGCTGGGCTTTTGGCAGGCATCTACCAGGGATGGCCTCGGGCCACCTGCAGACCCGACACTGCCTCCTGGAGGGGCCGGGGTGCCCGGGAGCAGAGTGCAGAGAGCAGCACCCCATACCCCTGGCCTCGCCGCCTGCCGCTGGGCTCAGAGCCACAGCTGCAGGCCCTGGCACGTGGGCACTGCTGAACCAGGAGCTCTGCCCAGCACAGCCCCAAGGGCTGTGTGTGTGTCTGGGTAGCTAGGTGTGTGCAGGCTCCAGCTGGTCGGGGACCAGGGCCTTCCTCCCGCAGGAGCTCTGCACGTGGACCCTGGCCCATGCCAGGCCGGCCTTGAGCTGCTGCCTACCTGGACCTCGTGGTGGTGGCAGAGTCCATTGGGGATTTTGGGGATGGGACAGGATGGGCTGCCTTGGGCCTGGCTGGGGGCTCTGGGGCATTGGGTGCAGCATCTGCCTCCACCCTGGGGACAAGGGGTGGTGGCTGGGCCAGGCAGCAGCAGGCTCCTCCTGGTGGGAGGTGGGGGCTGGCTGGTGTCCTCAGCTGGAGCGAGAGCCCTCCACAGCCGCGACCCCGAGTGGTGGTGTGTGTGATGGGCACCGGGCGTCTCCAACTCCCTCTCGTCTGCACTGGCGCTGTGGCCGGACTGGGGCCCAGGCCGGCTGGCCCTTGCCCCTCCCCAGGCTTGGTGTGCAGGGGTAGCTGCGTGCCTGTGCCAGGGCTGGCAGAGGCTGCGGGTTGCCGCGAGGGGCACGGTGAGTCCCCTGAGGGCCCTGTGGCTGCTGGAGCCAGCGCCCTCGCAGGAGGGCCCTGTGCCAGGGTTCCAGGCTGGGCAGTGTCCAGGGGCCCCTGGGTGGCCGCAGCAGATTGACCATGGACTCTGCCCTGTGTTGTCTCACCAGACACCCCTGCCGTAGCAGGAGGGAAGGGGTGGGAGGGGAGGCTCGGCCCATGCCGCGGGGCCCAGGTCCCGAAGCTGACCGCCCGTGGTGGGTGGTGTTGGGTGCGGTGGTCCCTACGCCGCTCCCATACCTGGGGCAGCAGGTGATGGCTGCCACCCACACTTCAGCCTGGCCCGGCCCTGGCTGTGGGTGTCCAGGGTGAGCCAATGGGTGAAGCAGTGATCTCTGAGTGTTTCTCTGTTTAAAAGGTTTTCTTTCTTTTAATGAAGAAAGTCTGTTGAGTCAGCTCCATCAAACCCCACCCCATACGGGGCCGCGGGTGCACAGGGGCCTGGGTCTCCACTCCCTGACAGCAGTCCCGTGGCCTCCCTGTGACAGCAGAGCCACACGCCCCAGAGCCGCAGCCGGGCCGGGGACAGAGCTGCTGCAGGGCACAGAAGCAAACAAAGCAAAGCAAGACCCGCTGGGGCTCTGGGAGGAAGGGCGGTAGAGCGTGGAGCGATGCTCTGGAAGTGCAGCTGGGTGCAGGGGTGAGGAGGCTGCCGGGGGCGTCCGGGAGCTATAGGACGAAGCACACGGGGACCTTGGAGACACAACAGTCAGGACTGTACAGGGTTCCAGCTGCAGGCAGGAATTTTCTTAAAGAATTTATTTGAAAGACAGAGTTAGAGTGGCAGAGGCAGAGAGATCTCCCAGTCCCTAAATGACCGTAACAGCTGGGGCTGGGCCAGGCCGCGTCTCCCATGTGGGTGCAGAGGCTCAAGCACTTGGACCGTCCTCCAGTGCTTTCCCAGGCCGCAGCGGAGAGCTGGATTGGAAGCGGAGCAGCTGGGACTCCAGCTGTTGTCCCTATGGGATGCTGGCCAGGCAGGTGGCGGCTGGACCTGCTGCACCACAGCGCCAGCCCCCAGCCCTGCTATTGAGAACCGGAGACCTGGAGACGCCCACAGGGCTGCCCTGGGAACTGGTGGTGTCGCCCGGAGTCTCCTGGCTTTGACGTCAGCTACAGTGCTTGCATTGCTTGCCCCCTTTTTTTTTTTTAATTTACTTATTCATTTGAAAGGCAGAATGGGAGAGAGGGAGGGAGAGAGAGAGAGAGAGAGAGGTCTTCCAGCTGCTGGTTCACTCTCCAGATGGTCACAATGGCCTGCCCTGCGCTGATCCGAAGCCAGGAGCCAAGAGCTTCTTCCAGGTCTCCCACGTGGATGCAGAGGCCCAAGCACTTGGGCCATCTTCTTTTTTTTTTTTTTAAAGATTTATTTATTTGAAAGACAGTTACAGAGAGAGGTAGAGACAGAGAAAAAGGTCTTCCATCCACTGATTCACTCCCCAGATGGCCACAACAGCTGGAGCTGCGGCGATCCGAAGCCAGGAGCCAGGAGCTTCTTCTGGGTCTCCCATGTGGGTGCAGGGGCCCAAGTACCTGGGCCATTTTCTGCTCTCCCAGGCCATAGTAGGGAGCTGAATTGGAAGAGGAGCAGCTGGGATTAGAACCGGCGCCCATATGGGTTGCCAGTGCTTCAGGCCAGGGCATTAACCTGCTGAGCTGCAGCGCTGGCCCCAGGCCTTAGCAGAGAGCTGGAACCGGCGCCCACTGGGATGCCGACACAGCAGGTGGCAGCTCTACCTGCTACGCCACAGCACTGCCCCCACCTTGTGCACCATTTTTTAAAAAAACCTTTTGTGCTCCACTCTGGTGGCTGGTGTCCAAGCGTTGTAAGGGTGAGCTGAGCCCGGTGGCACAGCAGAAGCGTGGCTGATGGGTTTAGGGCCATCAGAGCTGTGGGTGCTCAGCTCGTGTGGCCCTCATCGCACACAGACGGCGAGGGGCTGGGCTGCTGCGGGTCCCTTTCAGCCTGTGCCTGTCCTGGCACCTGCTTGGCCCACGTGGCCTGGCTGGAGGGCCAGTGCTGTTCAGAGTCGCCTCTGAGGCTTTCCAGGGCCGAGCCGGGCCAAGGTGGGTGGGGTTGGCAGGCTGCTGGGGCGGGGCTCCTGGAGCTGGTGTGACCCCCCCGCCCCTCGTGTTCTGCCCTGGGCCCCGGGCGGGGGGCGAGTCCTTGGTGCATCAGCTCCCTGGGGTTCTCTCCCTGCCGGGGTCCCCGACCCCAGGGGCCTCAAGGTGCCTCGGGGGTCTGCTGCGTGTGTGCTGTGCCCGCCCCTGGGGTCACGCCTGGGGCCTGTAGGAGGGGCGGTGCTCCTGACCTCTGCTTGCTGTTGCAGACGGCCAGCGGGAACGTGGAGGCCAAGGTGGTGTGCTTCTACCGCAGGCGGGACATCTCCAGCACGCTCATCGCCCTGGCCGACAAGCATGCCAGTGAGTCCGGCGGCCCCTGGCCTGGCAGGGAGGGCTGGGGGTCCCAGGGCTCCGCCGCGGCCACGGGAGGCCGCCTTCTGCTTCTTCTGTTCTCTCCTCTCTGTCTGCCCTCGGAGCCCTGGCTGATCACTCGTGAGCTGTCGCCCCGCTGGCCCTTCTGCGCTCACTGAGTCCGTGCTGTCGTGGGCTGGAGCCGGGCTGCTCCTTTTGGGGCCTCCGGAAGGTCCCCAGGCTCCGCCCGTGGCAGGGGGGCCAGGCTCAGCCTGGACTGGACTCACTGGCTCTTTGCATTTGCTGAGAGGGTCCCTCCTGTCGTCCTGAGAGCGGTGTCCCTCTTGGGGTTCATTCTGGTGAGCCCCGAAGGGGCATGGGGAGGCTCCCGCGTGTCACCTGCCACAGGTGCTGGACTGGTGGAGTTGCCCCTGCTGGGGGTGCGTGGCCGGGAGCAGGGCGGCCTGAGGCCCTCGTCTGCGGACCACGCCGCAGGCCACAGCGGGCCTTTCCTGCTGAAGGCTGTCCGGGGCCGCTTGGTTCTGTCACTGGGGTGGGACCTGCGCGTGCCCGGGTGGCCTTGCAGGAGGGTTGGGCAGGGCTTTCTTGGGCGTGGGGTGAGGTGAGGCGCTCCGTGCCGTGGGCCCAGCCGGCGTCTCTGGCGCTGGTTGTGAGTGAGCCTCTGCTGGCGGCTCAGGGAGGAGGTTGTGGGGCTGCTGGGCTCTGTGTCCTGGGCAGGCCCCCAGTGGGGGAAGGGCGGAGCAAGCTCTTGGCCGAGCCCCACAGGCTGCAAGCTTCCGGGGAAGCATCCGTTTGGCCCAGGGCTGGGTCTGGCTTCGTGGAGAGTTGGGCTTGCAGGTGGTCCCCCAGAGGTGGGGAGCCTGAGGAGTGGGGGAAGCCGGACGCTGCCCTTCGTCCCCCAGCCCGTGAGCTGCACGGCCCAGCAGTGTGGCTCCCGGGGCTGGCACAGTGGCTCCTGCTCCTGCCTGGGCCTGTCCCTCCCCATGGGCAGCTGGCCAGGGCTGGGCTAGCCATGGCAGCCTGTGCGTCCTGGTGGGTAGAGGGCCTGGGTGGACTGAGGGTACCGTGGCTCCCCCTGGAAGCTGGTCAGGGCTGGAGGGAGCCCCAGGCCGTGCAGCTCTGGTTGCCAGAGAGGCAGGTTTCCCAGCTGCGGCTGTTTCCTTGGAAAGCTGTCGCAAGAGGCAGGGTCTGTGTAGGACTCTCATCCTGGGCTTGGGGGGGGGGGGGCATGAAGGTTTGAACGGAGATCCTTGACCCCTGCTCAGTGCCCAGCGCAGGCCTCAGGCAGGAGGCCGGACCCCTGCAGGCCTCGTCCCCGATAGCCTCTCGGTCAGGTTGTGGTCGGAGCCTTCCCTCCTCCCTCTGAAGCAAGGCACGGTGACACAGGAGCCCAGGAGAGGGACTGGGCATTCCCATGGCCAGGCAGGACCTGGGGAGGGCTCCTCCCTCCTGAGGCTGTAGTGTGGCTGTTTCCTGGGCTGGTGCTGGGTGTGGGGTCCCAGTCTCCAGTCCGCACCCAGCATGGGGAGGTGGTGTGAGGCTTGCTGGGGGTGTACAGACCCGGGTGCCATCCTTAGCACACTCAGGGGCCCTGGACTGCTGGGATGGGGGCTGCTGTAGCGTGGGGAGGGTCTCAGCAGAGCTCCTGAGTATGGGCCAGGCCTGCCTGGAACAGCCCCAGATTATCCAGATTGATTGAAATGGCAAAAGTCTTGTTTTTCCCTGAGCTGGGCAAGGTGTTAGGACTTCCTGCAGCCACCACTAGGGGCAGCAGAGAGCCATCAGGCTGCACTGATTGGGGAGAGGGACAGAGACATGACCGTGGCCTCCAGAGGGCATTCTGTTGTTCAGTGCAGGGCAGGGGCCAGCAGCCTGGGTGTCCAGGGGCAGGCTCTGGAGGTCTCGCTCCCAGCTGGGGAGGTGGGAGTGTGTACAGGAGGGGTTCTTAGTGACAGCTTGTCAGGGCTCTGCCCGAAGGGGCTGGGGCACTGGGGTGGGCTGGGGCCCACTAGGAGGCCTGTGGCCCCCGTGTCCGCCCTGCCCCCTGGCCACGCAGCCCTGGGTCAGGCCCGGGCAGGGAGAGAGTGGCCGCGGCGCTGACACTGCCGCCTGGGCGCTGTCTGTCTGTTGCATAGCCTTGTCAGTCTGCCATAAAGCCGGACCGGGCGCCGACAGCGGCGAGGAAGGTAAGAGCTGCCCTCTGTGAGGACGCATCCTCGCGCCTGCCCCGGGCGGAACCTGCGCAGGCCGCCTGCATGCAGCCCGGCCCCGAGGGTGTCCTGCAGCTGCAGCGGGCCCTGCTGCGGCCATGCGGGGCCGCCTGGCCACGGGGCTGGGACACGTGGCACCTGCTGCTCACCGCGGTGCCAGCCGCCTGGCAGCTGCTCCTCTTTCCTCCTTTCCTGCTGCTTCCTCTGCCAGCGCCGGACTCCTGTCCCCACCTCCTTCCCCTGATGCCCAGGGGAGAGCCCAGCCTTCAGGGTGCTTGGACAAGAACGGGCACTGTGGCTCCTTGGGGTGGGCAGGGGCCTAGGGGCCACCCTGCGTGGGCAGGGCGGTCCTGAGGGCTCTTGTCCTACAGGGGAAGCAGAGGAGGAGGCCGAGAGCCCGGAAGTGGAGGAGGAGCTGCCCGACCGGCTCAGGCACCAGTTGCGGCACCGAGAGCTGTTCCTGTCTCGGCAGCTGGAGTCGCTGCCTGCCACCCACATCAGGTGCACACCTGCCCCTCCCCCCCGTCAGGTGCACACCTGCCCCTGCCCCCCCGTCAGGTGCACACCTGCCCCTCCCCCCGTCAGGTACACACCTGCCGCTGCCCCCCCCATCAAGTACACACCTGCTGCTGCCCCCCCATCAGGTACACACCTGCCTCCGCCCCCCCCCCCCGTCAGGTGCACACCTGCCCCCCCATCAGGTACACACCTGCCTCTGCCCCCCCTGTCAGGTACACACCTGCCTCTGCCCCCCCTGTCAGGTACACACCTGCCCCTGCCCCCCTGTCAGGTACACACCTGCCCCTGCCCCCCATCAGGTACACACCTGCCCCCGACCCCCCATCAGGTACACACCTGCCCCCGACCCCCCATAGGTGCATACCTGCCTCTGCCTCCTGTCAGGTGCACACCTGCTCCCCCCATCGGGTACACACCTGCCCCTGCCTCCCCTGTAGGTGCACATCTGCCTCTGCCCCCCCGTCAGGTACACACCTGCCCCTCCCCGCATCATGTACACACCTGCCCCCCCGTAGGTGCACACCTGCCCCCGCCCCCCACACCTGCCCCTCCCCTCACATCCTCCTCTTCCACAGGGGCAAGTGCAGTGTGACGCTGCTGAACGAGACGGAGTCCCTCAAGTCCTACCTGGAGCGGGAGGTGAGACTCAGCCTGGCTTGGGCAGGGACATTTTTCCCTCCTTGCTCAGGTCCAGCCCTGCCCACCTGCAGCACCCACAGAAGGCCAGGCCCTCCCTGAGGGGGCGTGGTCAGTGCAGGAGGCCCAGCTGGTCCCAGGCAGTGGACAGATCTGCACTGGCTGCCTGCACCCCTGCTGACCTGGGACAGCTGGCACCTGAGGCAGGTGACTGGAGCACCTGTGAGCCGTGGGGATTGCTCGCCACATCACCTCCTGGGTGACGGCCCGGTGTCCCCAGGGGAGTTCACCAGCACGGTTTTCTGAGGCACACAGAGTCTGGAGTAGCCAGGGTGTGGGTCAGCACCTAGGGGCAGGTAAGGGGCAGGCCCAGCGCTTAGCCTCTCCCAGGCCTCTGCCTGTCTGGGCTGAAGGTGTGGCCTGAGGGCCTTGTGTCCAGCAGCCCGGGGTGACACGTGCAAAGCCTAGAAACAGGAGTGCCAGCAGGGACCACGCGTGCGTGGGCGGCCGTGCCCAGAGGCGGGGTCAGTGGGGTGCCCCGGGGACGTGGCAGAAAGGCATCCGTGGAGCAAGGACAGTGAACGGGGGCCGGCGGGCGATGGCCGTGTCAGCGTGTCAGGACAGCCCGGGCAGGTCCGAGTGCTGGCTCATGCGTGCTGAGTGCTGGGAGCCCTGCCCTCGCGTGGGGCAGCCGTGCAGGGAGAGCGCAGAGGCGGCGGCAGCGCCGTGGACGGCTGACGTGGTGGCCTCAGCAGCCGTCACCAGGTCAGGTCATGTTGCAGGCGTTCCAGGGCGGCCAGGCCGAGGTGGACTCCGTGTTTCTCACCCGGCGACTCAGCACTCTGCTGAGCGGGGACGCGTGGTGCAGCGAGGGCCGTCATCAGGCCTCCCCGAGCCGCTGACTGGCACCCTGCAGCCCGAGCACACCCTGCGCCTGCGCCTGCGCCGTCACTACTGCGCTTCTTGCTTTGCCTTCCCTCCTTCCTTTTATTTAATTAAAAAAAAAAAAGATTTATTTGAAAGGTGGAGTTAGAGAGACAGAGAGGTCTTCCATCTGCTGGTTCACTCCCCATATGGCCACGACAGCCAGGGCTGGGTCAGGCCGAAGCCAGGGCCTGGGACTTCGTCTGGCAGGGAGCTGGACCGGAGGTGGGGCAGCCAGGACTGGTTCTGTCTGCTGGTTCACTCCTTAGATGCCTGCGAGAGCCAGGAGCTCAGTCCAGGCCTCCCACGGGGGTGCTGTGTCCAGGCCTCCCCCGGGGGTGCTGTGTCCAGGCCTCCCACGGGGGTGCTGTGTCCAGGCCTCCCCCGGGGGTGCTGTGTCCAGGCCTCCCACGGGGGTGCTGTGTCCAGGCCTCCCACGGGGGTGCTGTGTCCAGGCCTCCCCCGGGGGGTGCTGTGTCCAGGCCTCCCACGGGGGGTGCTGTGTCCAGGCCTCCCACGGGGAGTGCTGTGTCCAGGCCTTCCACGGGGGGTGCTGTGTCCAGGCCTCAAATGGGGGTGCTGTGTCCAGGCCTCCCACGGGGGGTGCTGTGTCCAGGCCTCCCCCGGGGGTGCTCAGTCCAGGCCTCCCACGGGGGTGCTGTGTCCAGGCCTCCCACGGGGGGTGCTGTGTCCAGGCCTCCCACGGGGAGTGCTGTGTCCAGGCCTCCCATGGGGGGTGCTGTGTCCAGGCCTCCCACGGGGGTGCTGTGTCCAGGCCTTCCACGGGTGCTGTGTCCAGGCCTCCCACGGGGGGTGCTGTGTCCAGGCCTCCCACAGGGGTGCTGTGTCCAGGCCTCACCCGAGGGTGCTCAGTCCAGGCCTCCCATGGGGAGTGCTGTGTCCAGGCCTCCCACGGGGGTGCTCAGTCCAGGCCTCCCATGGGGGGTGCTGTGTCCAGGCCTCCCATGGGGGGTGCTGTGTCCAGGCCTCCCACGGGGTGCTGTGTCCAGGCCTCCCACAGCGGGTGGGACCCAGTTCCCTGAGCCATCACTGCTGCCCCAGGGTGCGTCAGGAAGCTGGGCTTGAGCCGGGTGTGGGGTGGCGTCCCAGCTGCCGTGCCGTGCCGTGCCGTGCCTGCGCCTGCTTTGTGCATGGATCTCTTGCCTGACGCGCCCTCCACACCCTGCCCCGTGTCGGGGGGCAGAGAGTTCCCCAGGCGAGGGTGGGGCTCCCAGCTGTGGGCCCCACAGACCAAGCAGGGGCTCCTGTGTGTGCTGTTTCAGGATTTCTTCTTCTACTCGCTGGTCTACGACCCCCAGCAGAAGACCCTCCTGGCGGACAAAGGAGAGATTCGAGTGGGAAACCGGTACCAGGCCGACATCACTGACCTGCTGAAGGAAGGTAGGGCGCAGGGTGGGGCCCGCAGCAGGAGCCGGGGCAGAGCGTGGCCCTGGACTGTCCTGCATGGCAGGAGTTTGTCTCCCTAAGAAACGAGGAGACAGGGAGTGAGGTGCTGGTGGGTGGGTCGCTCCCCAAGCACCTGTAGGTGCCGGGAGGGACCCCAGTACTTGAGCCATCACCTGCCATCCTGTGTCTCGTTGGGCAGCTGTGGAGCCTGGAAGGGCCTGGGGCACCTTGGCTGGCACCAGGGGACTGGGCTCGAGGGTCTAGGGCCTCGTCCCTCTGGTCTCCAGCTCCCTCCTCCAGCACTTCCGCCTCCTGTTTCTGTGCACGTGGCCGGGACCTGGCTCTCGTGGGCTGGCTGCTTGCGGTGTGTTGGCTGTGCAGCAGGGCTGGGATGCTGCACCATGGCCCAGAGTGGCCGGTGAAGGGTTCCCTCAAGTCCCTGTGCACAGGGCCCGCCCTCGCCAGCCTGGGGACCCCGGCCCCAGCCCCGTCCCCGGCAGCATCCTTGCCTGCTGGGCTCACTGCTTGGTCTCTTCCTGAGCTGCAGGCCTGGTGCAGAGCCTGGGCAGCCACGTCCACCGTGAAACCCACGCCAGCTCCCACCTGGGGAGAACTGCGTGGCGACGCCCTGACCCGAGGGCCTGGGCTCGGCTGCTTGCGTGCTGGTCAGGAGGGTGCTGGGGCTCCCCAGAGACCGTGGAGCAGCCACCCCCAGGACCCCTTCCTGACCACAGAAGGCCTGAGCCTGAGCCGCAGCCACGAGGGAGGGGCCTCCTGCCTCTCTGCAGCCCCACCGCCTCCTGGACCTCATGGGCCGCTAGTCCAAGGGGCATTGGCCTGGCTGGCAGGAACGAGGCTTCTAGAACCTTCCACAGCTCCTTGAGCCACATCCTGTTGAAGGGATGCAAAACCGTGCTTGTGCCTGGCCAGCGGCGAGGGCTGGGCTGTGCTGCTGCCGCCCTGCAGGATCGGCCTGAGGCCCTGGGAGTCCTGGCGCCAACAGAGGTCTCAGTGGGCAGAGGAAGGAGATGCACCCATGATGCTGGACACGGGCCACGCTTCTGCGCGGACAGAAAGCCCCAGTTCCTCCCCCTGCAGCCCTTACGGTCAGCCCCCCGGGCCCACTGGGCCCACATGGACCCTTCCGTGGCCAAGCCTGCTCAGCCTTCAGGGGCTGCTGCCCTGTGAGAAGGGTCAGATTTTTTTTTTTTTTTGACGGCAGAGTGGACAATGAGAGAGAGACAGAGTAAAGGTCTTCCTTTTGCCGTTGCTTCACCCTCCACTGGCCGCTGCGGCTGGTGCGCTGTGGCCGGCATATCGCGCTGATCCGAAGCCAGGAGCCAGGTGCTTCCTCCTGGTCTCCCATGCGGGTGCAGGGCCCAAGGACTTGGGCCATCCTCCACTGTACTCCCGGGCCACAGCAGAGAGCTGGACAGGAAGAGGAGCAGCTGAGATTTGAACCGGCGCCCATATGGGATGCTGGCACTGCAGGCGGCGGCCCCACCCACTGTGCCACAGCCCTGGCCCTCTGGTTTTGTTCTTTGGAAGTAAAAGGTTGTTTCATCAGAACCCTCCCGAGAGCTCCCAGAGGACAGACCAGCCCTGGTTGTGTGTAGGTTAGCGGTGCTGGAGCTGGGCTCTGCCTGTTACCACACTGGGGTGCTAGGTGAAGGCACCAGGGGGCTGTGATGGCACAGCCGAGTGCGTCTGGATCAAAGTGAGGGCTGGGAGCTTCTGCTGCCTCTCTGGTCACACTCTGGAGCCACCAGCACCGGGGTCCGCGTCCCTGGTGGGCTCTCCCTTGGGCCCATGTGGGTCTCTGTCCTCTCACTGTGCCTGCAGCCCCAGGGTGCTGTCTGCAGATGTCGGAAGCCACAGCCCGAGTGCCTGTGTGCTGGCCACCCCGCATCGTCTGTGCTGTGGGACCCCAGGGAGCAGGCAGGCCCGTGGCTCGGACCTTGGCCCTCTGTGGTTTCCGCAAGTGCACGCTTCCCTGTAGGTGAGGAGGACGGCCGTGACCAGTCCAAGCTGGAGACCAAGGTGTGGGAGGCCCACAACCCACTCATAGACAAGCAAATCGACCAGTTCCTGGTGGTAGCCCGGTGAGTTCTGGGTACTGGAGAAGGGACCTGGGGTCCTTGGTGTCGGGGAGACCGTGTGGCCTTGGCTCTGAGGTCGCGGCGAGGCCCACAGCCTTGCCTCTGGGCCCTCACCTGGCATCCCCAGGAGGCTCAGCTGACCCAGCCCACCTGGCCTTTTGGGTGCTCCGCTGGGAGGGGCTGGGCTGTGCAGCCGGCCACATGGCACACAGGCCGTGGCAGCCACTCCCCAAGTGTCCTGGTGGCTCCGCAGATGCTGTGGCCACTGTAGTCTGTAGACTCCATGGCAGCCATGCCCTGGGAGTGGCGGGCGCTGCCCCGCTCCTAGGGCTCTGAGGGTCAGCCTGTCTCCGTCCCCCAGCTCGGTGGGCACCTTCGCACGTGCCCTGGACTGCAGCAGCTCCGTGCGACAGCCCAGCCTGCACATGAGTGCCGCCGCCGCCTCCCGAGACATCACCTTGGTGAGTGTCCAGCACCTGCCCAGGCGTGCAGGACCTGGGGAGGACCCAGCTTCGGTCAGTGTGTGTGGAGGCTGTGGCCAGGGGCCCTCTCCAGGAGGTACCGAGGGCGTGGGGCCACGATGCAGGTTCAGGTAAAAGACCCCGGGCCCCTCGCCCCTGCTGTGTCGCCACAGTTCCACGCCATGGACACACTGCACAAGAACATCTACGACATTTCCAAGGCCATCTCGGCCCTCGTGCCGCAGGGCGGGCCCGTTCTGTGCAGGGATGAGATGGAGGAGTGGTCGGCGTCGGAGGCCAACCTCTTCGAGGAGGCCCTGGAGAAGTACGGGAAGGACTTCACGGACATCCAGCAGGACTTCGTGAGTGCCCCGGGCGGTGGGCGGCTGCTGGGCCTTGGGCAGGGGCCCTGGCCTGGCCGTGTCAGTGTTGGCAGCGGGGCTTGGGTGGGGGTCTCGGAGGGGACGGGGGGGCCGCAGCGGGGCTGCCCCCGTGATGCACTGTCCTCTTGCCCAGCTGCCATGGAAGTCGCTGACTAGCATCATCGAGTACTACTACATGTGGAAGACCACCGACAGATACGTGCAGCAGGTGGGCCCGCGTCCCCCGGCAGCTTTGCGCCCCGTGAACTTGCTGCGTGCTGTAGAGCCCCTGGGTGCCCCGGCAGCCCTGGCTGAACGTTCCGTGCCAGGGCTTTGCGTCTCTGGGGTCCCAAAGTCTTCCCCAAGAGAGCCAGCTCCCAGGGCCCCTGCCTCGCTGTCCGGTGTCTGCGCTGCAGCCCCCGTCCAGCCTGTGACCTCTCTGCCCCTCTTTTGCTTTAAGAAACGTTTGAAAGCTGCTGAAGCAGAGAGCAAGCTGAAGCAAGTCTACATCCCCAACTAGTGAGTGCTGCCTGGGGCCTGGGGCCGCGGGGCCGCCTTCCCTCAGCGCAGGGGACCCTGGCCTGGGTCTGGGGGGCGGGGGCCACATCCCAGAAGCCCCTGGCAAGTCAGCCCTCCCAGTTAGTGGGGTGGCCAGTGTGGGGAGGCTGGGGCCCTGGGTTTGGCCGCTGAGCTTGCCTTGGTGCTGGGCCCATGAGAGCCTGGGGAGCCGTCCTCAGCGGCTGGGGGCATCCTCAGTCCGGATCCTGTGACTTTTCCCCTTGCCTCCCTCTTAAGCAACAAGCCAAGTCCAAACCAGATCAGCGTGAACAACGTCAAGGCCAGCGTGGTGAACGGCACAGGAGCGCCGGGCCAGAGCCCTGTGGCCGGCCGGGCCTGCGAGAGCTGTTACAGTAAGTGCCTGGTGCTGGCCGCGCCCTGCGGTGCCCAGCGCGGCCCTGAGTGCCCATGCCCGTGCCCCTGCCTGGGAGGGCCCCCAACGCCCGGGGCTGCCGCAGTGCTGGGGTCTGGTGGGGGGGGGTCTGAGGTATGTGGGGGTGCCCCCGGGTGGGGAGTCCTGGGCCCGCTGGGGGGTGTGGCGGGGGGCACCGTGGAATGCTCTCTGCATCGCTGGTTCTGCTTAAGAATCCGTCTATTTCCAACTTTGTTGTCCGTAGCCGCACAGTCTTACCAGTGGTATTCTTGGGGTCCCCCTCACATGCAGTGTCGTCTCTGCGCGTCTTGTTGGACGTATTGGAAGAAATACGGTGGCTTGAAAATGCCAACCCGGTTAGACGGAGAGCGGCCAGGACCAAACCGCAGTCACACGGTAAGCAGGAGGCGTGCCGGCCCCAACCCCGCCTGCCCGCTGCCGCCGCGGCCCCCGGTCATGGCGCTGTGTCGGGGCCTCGCGCCCCCTTCCGCAGAGTCCCCACGGCGTCCCAGCCCGGAGCAGCGGGAGCCCCAAGTTTGCCATGAAGACGCGGCAGGCCTTCTACCTGCACACCACCAAGCTGACCCGCATCGCCCGGCGCCTGTGCCGTGAGATCCTGCGGCCCTGGCATGCTGCCCGCCACCCCTACATGCCCATCAACAGCGCAGCCATCAAGGCCGAGTGTGAGTGCCCGTCCCTGCAGATGCCGAGGAGGGCGGGATGACCAGGGCGCAGCCTCACCCCGCCTGGTCCCCTCGCAGGCACTGCCCGGCTGCCGGAAGCGTCTCAGAGCCCGCTGGTGCTGAAGCAGGCAGTGAGGAAGCCCCTGGAGGCTGTGCTGCGGTACCTGGGTAAGTCGGGGTCGGGGCATCCCAGGTACGGCCCAAAGGCAGCTTGGACGCTGGGCCCTGGAGCCAGGAGACCCTCACCCACTACCCTGCCCTTGTCCCTGGCCCTGGGGTCCTTAGGAGCCCAGGTAGCTCAAGCTGCTGCCCTGTCCCCCCCCCCCCCCCCCCCCCCCGGTGCAAGGCCTCCTCACCCCTGCCCCCAGGGTCCAGGCCAGGGCAGGGTGGCTGCTCGCTGCCCACAGGGAGGTCTTTCCCAGAGCAGAGCGCCCCTAGGGGACGGCGGCCAGGCCGCTGCAGGCCCTCTGCTGGGAGAGAGCGAGCAGAGCACTGGGTGGGAGGGGCTTGGGGCCCTTCCTTCCTTCTGGGAGGGAACATTCCGGAACCGTGAGCCAAGTACCCTTCATGCAGGCAGAAGTGGCTTCGGCATTGCTTGCTTTCTTGGGTCTTGGGCCCCAGGGCCGGGCTGGCAGGCGATCAGCTCAGTGTTGGGCCAGCAGCCAGGCCTCTGCCATCAGCGCCGGTGGCCTGGACGTGAAGGCGGCCTGATGGGCTCTGTGTTTATGGGGCTGCGTCTGGATGCTGTCAGCTACTGGCCATCACCCAGGGGAGAGGAGCTTACCCCAGCAGGCCACTGCCCCAGCCGCCCAGGGAGCCCCATGGTGTGGGCCTGCCAAGGACCCCCGAGTCCCCAAGGGGCTGCCTCCATCAGGGCGGCGGCGACCCTGCCTGTGCTGTCCCCACAGAGACGCACCCGCGCCCTCCGAAGCCCGACCCCGTGCGGAGCGCCTCCAGTGTCCTCTGCAGCCTGACGCCGGCCAAGTCGGCCCCTGTCATCAACAACGGCTCCCCCACCATCCTGGGCAAGCGCAGCTACGAGCAGCACAACGGGGTGGACGGTGAGTCCGGGCTGCCGGCGCCTGCCGGCCCTGGGCCCCACGCGGCCCCACGCAGCCCCACGGGCGCCGCGGCCCCGCTGACCTGTCTTCTCTCCTCTCTGTCCCTTGGCGCTGCCAGGCAACATGAAGAAGCGCCTCTTGATGCCCAGTAGGGGTAAGGCCCAGGGCAGCCGCTCGCGGCCGGCCCGTCGCCACGCTGTGTGTGCTGTGCTGCCCGCGTGTCAGCCCCAGCGGGTGGCTCAGGGCACGTGCGGGGGCAGGCCGCGTGGCTGGGCCACAGCCAGTCCCGACTCCCCTGGCCTCATCTGTCACTCGGTGCAGCACCCGGCAGCCCTGGGGCCCTGACCTCGGCCCTACCTGGCTCTGTGCCATGCTGGACTGTCCCTGCACGTGTGCCCTGGCGCCCCCGCCACCCGCCCGTGCTGTCTGCCGTCGCGCTGTGACTGCCGCATGCTCTCGGCCCGCGCCTGTGCGTGGGCGTGGGGCTGTCCCCGCTGTGCCTGCAATGCTGCCTGGGCCTCGGGCTTGTGCACTGGCTGGGGTGGGGGCTTCAGGACCCCAGACCCCTGTAGGGGAGGAGTAGGTAGACTTGAGCCCAGCTGCTGGCCAGGCACCCGGCCAGGGAGGGGCAGCAGGCAGTGGGCGACCCCTCACGCTGCCTTCTCTGGGCTGCCGTCGGGAACCTGCAGAGCACTGAGCCCTGGCTGTCGCGTGCCGACTGCAGCCGGGGCGGCCAGTCCCTCTGGACACGAGGATGCCCTGGCCCCCGTCTCCTTGTGTGGGCGCCCCACTGCTGCCCGTGCTCGAGGCTGGCTCTGGGGTCTGCACCCCCTGACGGGAGCCCTGGGAACACGAGTGGGCGTGCGTCCTTGTCAGCAGGCCTCTGAGCTCCCAGCTTTGTTTCATAAAAAGCTTGGAACAAACAAGCTAAATAAAAGTCTGTTTATTCCCGCTGCATTTTCCAAAACTCAGGTCCTCCGTCCAGCTGTGGCTTTGTACCCCGTGGGGCGGGGCGGGGCCCCTGGAGGGGAATGGCCGGGCCTGGACTGGGCCTCAGGGCTGGCTGGGGTGGCGGGGTTGGTGTCCGGCGTGGGCTGAGTGCTGTGGAGCCTCCCTCACTAACCGCCCACCCGCCTGCTGCCTGCTGCATCGTGTCCCGGGGGCCACCCGCGCCCGCGCTCACCTAACTCTGTCTCCTTCCTCCCGCCAACCCGCCACCCTGGTAGGCACTTACCTGGGTAAGTAGCTCTGGGGCTGGGCTGTCCCTTGGCACAGGGCCTTGGGATGATAGCACGGGGCCATGGAGCCGCTGCTCTGGGCCCGCCCACCCAGCTGAGTGTAGCAGCTCTGGGGAAGGCCTAACCAAGTCCCAGGCTGGTTTGCAGGGAATTGGGAGTGGGGGCGCACACAGGCTTCAATTTTTAGGAGAGAGCTTTTGCCCACGAACACCCTGGGGTCTTGCTGGGGGGTGGGCCGCCCCAGCACCAGCTCTGGCTCACCCATGCCTTGTAGGCCGGTGGGGGGTGGGGGGATCCCCTTCCTGACCCAGCTCCAGCAAAGTCTCCTGGGTGCTCTGGTCCTAGGCCTCATGGCTGGGCCAGCAAGTGTGAAGGCCCCGGCCAGTGAGGCATCTTGAGCCCTTGGGGAGAGGCCAGGTGCAGCCCGGCCTTGCGGGGCCCAGCGGCGGCCAGCAGAGGTGTGACTGCCCTGGCTGTGCTGAGTGCAGCCCTGCTGGCGTCGCCCAGGGTCCGTGTGCACGGAGCTGGCTGTCAGCTCTCAGGCCGCCTTGCCGCCTGCCTGGAGCCTGAGCTGACCTAGAGGCCCGTGGGGGGTGTCCCCTGCTCTGGGGGCCCAGCCTCAGTTGGCTCTCCTTTCCCGTTAGGTCTGGCAAACCATGGACAGACCCGGCACATGGTAAGAGGTGCCACGTGGGGTAACCGCGAGCCTGGCCAGGCTGGGGAGAGGGACGGTAGTAGGCCGTGCCCAGGGCCCCCTGCCACCTGGGCGGAGTCTGCCCGAGTCCCTGGGGGCCTGGCTCCTGGGGACCGCCTCACTCCTCATCTGCCGCAGGGACCAAGCCGGAACCTTCTGCTCAATGGGAAGTCGTACCCCACCAAAGTGCGCCTCATCCGGGGGGGCTCGCTGCCCCCGGTGAAGCGGCGGCGGATGAACTGGATCGACGCCCCCGACGACGTGTTCTACATGGCCACCGAGGAGACCAGGTGGGGCCCTGCCCGGGCGCCTGGGCGGGCCGGGCCGGGGTGGCCGCCGCGCCCGCTGGGCCTCACCGCCTGCCCGTGCCGCCCGCAGGAAGATCCGCAAGCTGCTCTCCTCCTCGGAGACCAAGCGCGCCGCCCGCCGGCCCTACAAGCCCATCGCCCTGCGCCAGAGCCAGGCCCTGCCGCTGCGCCCGCCCCCGCCGGCCCCGGTCAACGACGAGCCCATCGTCATCGAGGACTAGGCCGCCCCCCAGCCCCGCCCAGCGCCCCACTCCCACCCTCACCTGCAGACGCGGCCCGCGCGCCATTAACTTATTCCGAGAATGCCGAGCAGTTGTTTTTAGCTTTGTGTTGACTTCCGGCTGGAGCGGAGCAGAGGGGCCGGGCCTGCCCGAGGCGGGCCCTGCGGCTTTGTTATGTTCTGTTGAAGGTGCCATTTTAAATTTTATTTTTATTACTTTTTTTGTAGATGAACTTGAGCTCTGTAACTTCACCTGGAATGTTAGATCGGTGCGGCCGGTGGCGGCCGAGCTGCCTGTTGGGGTTGGCCCCCTTGTCTTTTCAAGTAATTTTCATATTAAACAAAAACAAAAAAAATCTCATAAAAAGAAAAAAAAACCCACCCAGCCCTTCCATCGTCTTTCATTCCCGGCCTCAGCCCCAGGGAGTGGGCCGAGGGCGCCCTCGCCCGTGTCCACCTCCCCGGCCGCGGGGCCGCGGGGCCGCGGGGCCGCGGGGCCGCGCTGAGACTGCGCCCTGCGCCTGGCTGAGCTGTGCCCCAGCTGGAGCCGAGGCTGCCCCCGCTCCTTGCACACCTCACCTGTGAGGGTTTCCTCAGACCTCAGCAGGCCCCCGGGCCTGCCGTGCACCCAGCCTCACTGGCCTGGGGACAGGTGCAAGCCAGCCCCAGGTTTCTGTTGGCCTGGGCTCCTCAGTTCCCCCGGAGTGCTGTCCCCTGTGCCCCACCCCCAGCCCACTTGAGCGCCCTGTGATACGGGAATCAGCCTGGGGATGAAAATAGAAACCACTTGGACCGTCCTGCAGATAGGTGTGTGGGGGGGGCAGCAGGCAGGGCGGCCCCAGGAAGGCTCAGACCCTGGGGCCCTTTCTCACACCAGGGTTTGGTGGAAGGTCGGGGGTCTCAGCTCCTGCTCAGGGGAGACCCCAGCCCCTCGTCCTCCAGTGCCCATCTGCTCATGTAGGACCCGTGTCCCCCCGGGGCTGGCCAAAGGGCTCCTGAAGACTTGGGTTTGGGCTGTGAGGTGTCGCCAGATCCTGGCCACTAGTCCCGTCCCATGGTGGGTGGAGCCAGCCTGGACACCTCTGCTGGCAGCTGCCCAGCCAACCCAGCCCTGGGGCCCCCGCTTGTGACTTGCCGAGACAACCGCAGGATGTCAGGCGGCTGTGGTGTGGCTGCTATGTGCTGTCCTCACCCAGCTGTGCCCTGTGCCCGCCCTCTGCATACCAGGAGCCAGGCCTGCAGCCCTCTGGCCTCCGGGTCAACCGTGCCCCTTCACACCCGCCTGGGGTAGCCATCAGAGGGCCTTGGCCTGGACTCCAGGACGGCAGCTGGGGGCAGCCGGGAAGGGGCTGGACGTGGCTGTCTCCAGCCCTCTTTTTTTTTTTTTTTTTTTTTTTTTTGACAGGCAGAGTGGACAGTGAGAGAGAGAGACAGAGAGACAGGTCTTCCTTTGCCGTTGGTTCACCCTCCAATGGCCGCCGCGGCCGGCGCGCTGCGGCCGGCGCACCGCGCTGATCCGATGGCAGGAGCCAGGAGCCAGGTGCTTTTCCTGGTCTCCCATGGGGTGCAGGGCTCAAGCACCTGGGCCATCCTCCACTGCACTCCCTGGCCACAGCAGAGGGCTGGCCTGGAAGAGGGGCAACCGGGACAGAATCCGGCGCCCCGACCGGGACTAGAACCCGGTGTGCCGGCGCCGCTAGGCGGAGGATTAGCCTATTGAGCCGCGGCGCCGGCCTCCAGCCCTCTGTGCCCTGCCCACTTCCAGGTCATCTGGCCGGTGGCAGGGACTGTGCCTTTGTTGCCTCCCCCATCCCCTCTGCCCAGGCTGGGCCCCTTGGGCCCCTCCCACAGGTGGTTTTCCATAAGGCACCTGTAGCCGGCCAGCTCTGTCCTCACCCTCCTGCAGGTACCACAGGTGGAGTGGAGTGGGTGGGGGAGGGGAGCTGGGAGTTGGCATCAAATGGGGAGCAGTGGGCTCCTGAATCCACCCTGAGCAAGGGGTGGGCAGTGAGTGGCTGGCCACCCTGCCAAGGGACTGGCTGAGGGGCCCCTCCCTTGCCTTTGTTTCCCAAGCCTTTGCTGGCTCCAGTCCACAGGTGCAGGGGGAGCTGGTCGGGCTGGTCAGTCGGGCTGGGGGGGGGGAGCACATGTTTCTGGGCTGCTGTTGCCATGGCAATGGCAGTGGCTGCAGGATGCATGTGCAAGGAGGGGGCCAGGCCAGGGCCACAGAGGACACGCCCTGCACCCGGGATCTGAAGAGGTGGCAGAGACCACTGGGGCCCCAGCCCGCAGCCCAGGCAGATGCAGCAGGGTGTGGCTGGCTGGAGTCCCTGCCCACCGTGGCCATGGCTCCTGGAGTGCCTGCGAGGAGGTGGGAACACCAGACCCCTGCCAGCTCCAGGATGGAAGGCAGGGGGCGGCGAGAAGGACCAGACTGGCCCCTGGTTGAGTTCCCTCACTCGGCGCCCTGGGGGAAGTTGCTTTGCTCCCGGGGCTGGAGGGGCAGGGCTGGGGCGAAGGCTGCCCAGTGAGTCTCCGCCCACGCCCGCTGCCCCAGGAGTCGCCAGAGCCGGCTCTCCCCGGACGCCCCCACTGTGGGCATGCTTGCGCAGCCACACCAGCGCGCTGGACGCCCCGGCCCGGGTGTCCGGGTGTCGAGGCGCGGACCGCCCAGCCTGGAATCCGACTCGGCCGTTGCTATGGAAACCGAGCAACAAAGGGAAGCGGGCCGCGCGGCGCGGCGGGGTTGGGGGTGGGGTCTCACCGGCGCCAGGGCCCCCTCCCCGCGACGGAGCGCGGCCCGGTCGCCGAGGGCCGGCCGGGGGCCCCAGGCCCGCTTGCTAGATTCGGGAGCCAGGATCAAGGCCTGCGCCCCCGGCCCAGGACCTCGGGACGGACCCGGCCGGCAGCCCCGACGTTGCCATGGAAACACCCGGGGCCGGCGCCTGCAGACGCCCCCTCGGACGCCAGGGACGCGGGGTGCCAGGAAGGGCCCGGCGCCCTCGCTCCTGCCGCGGCAGGTGCGCCCCCAGCCTCGCGGGGCGCCCCCGGCAGGCGGCGGGCTGCTGAGGCCCCGCCCCGGCCGCCGAGCCAATGGACGGCTGGCGGCGGGGCGGGCGGAGGCGCGGGCGCGGCCGCAGGCGGCGGCGCGGAGACGGCGCGGGCGGAGGGCGCGGGCCGACTGGGCGCACCGACAATGGCTTCCAAGTGCCCCAAGTGCGACAAGACCGTGTACTTCGGTGAGTGCGGGGGTCCAGTACCGGCGGGGCCGCGCCCGCAGCGCTCTGCGACCAGCCCGGGGCCGCGCAGCCCCGCGCCACCCGCGGTTCGCTCGGGTGCGCCTGGCCCAGCCCCGGGATGAGCGGCACGAGGGTGGGGCCGCGGCGACGCGGGGGCTGCCACGCCGGGACCGCGAGGCGACCGCTTGGGATGGGGGCGTGGGTCCTCGGGGCGAGCCCAGGGCTTGCGAGCGCGCGGGCCTCGCGGGCCATCGCGGTCCCAGTTGCGCGCGGGGCGGGGTCGGGCGGGGCCGCACGCTCTGGAGCCTCCAGCGCGCTCGGGTTGGTCTAGGCCCTGCCCCCTGGACCCTGGGCCCGCCGTCCCTTCGAGGGGCTGCATGGCTCCGAGCAATGACTCCCCGGCCCCCGGCCTCCACTCTGACCTCTGCCTGAGCCGCCGGGCTGGGTCCGGGCTCTGAGTCAGTCCCAGCGGGGGCGACCTTGGCTTCCCGCGTGTCCCAACCCGCTGTCGTGCTTGGCGCCGGACCTCCCGGAGTTTACACGGCTGTGGGCTGTGGGTGCCGTACAGGTGGGGAGACACACCCGTCTCCACGAGCTTTAGAGGCGCCCAGGACCCCAGCCTCCTCAAGGTCAGAAGGGCCAGACTGGAGGCCTGCGGTGCCCCTGGGTAGGGAGCCCCCTCCCCCCAGGTGCTGGGCGCTCACTCTCCTTCCCTGCGGCCCTGCGCCTCCTGGCCCACCCTCTCAGCCGCTTTGCCCACTGAGCCCCAGTGCCTGCACAGAGGGTGAGATGGAGGACTGGGAGGGCCGGGCCGGGAGCAGTGGCCGTGTCCAGGATGTGAGGGAGGCGGCTGCACAGAGCCCGAGGAGGAGCAGCAGGAGGGGGTGGGGGTGGCGGGGAGGAGGCTCCCTGTTGTTCCCCCGACCGGATTTGCCCTGGTGCTTCTGGTGTGGCTGGGAGCCGAGGGGCTTCCGGCCACCTTCTCTGGAGCCTGACCGAGACTCAGTCCCTGCCCCAGAGAAGAGGGCTGTCCTCTGCAGGGCCCTCCTGCTGCCCCGCTGCCCATGGCTTTGCCCAGGCCAGGCCAGCTGGGGGCTCTCTGGGGCCTCGGCCAGCAGTGCTGCCCACAACCCGGAAAAGTGCCCTGCCTGCTGGGCGTCCGCTCACTCTCCCGAAAAACAAAGGCTTCTGTCAGCCCTGCTGGCTTCTTTCCTGCCCGGGGGGCATGGGGTGGGAGGCGGGGGTTGGAGTCCTGCCGGCCCCCCAAGCACATCGCACCCCTGCGGCTCATACCTGGCAGAGCCTGGCCAGGGCATCCCAGAGTGACCGAGAGCCTCAGCTCTGCGACCCCTCCCTCCCAGGTCTAGAGACCCAATCAACAGTGTTCCCAACCCGCGCCTGGCGCGTGTGGCCATCGACCCACTGTGGTTCTCAGGGTCAGCTCCCTGCCCCCACGTGGCCCACGTCCCAGGGCTGCCCCGAGCTACAGTGCTGACGGAGGACCAAGCTCCCGCCTGTCCTGGCTGGGACACAGCAGGGGCCTGGTGGCCCGGGTCCCCGCCCTGTCCCTGACGGCCCAGCTGGTGCTGCCCTGGTTGGGTGGTTGCCAGGGGGACCCCACTCCTGTCTTGTGGTCCCTGTGGGGTGTGCTGGGGCCTCTCTGAGACCTGGAAGAGCTGTTTGTCCTGGGCCCATCCTGGCAACCTGAGAGCCCCTCGGCCCCAGCCCCGCCCAGCCCTGTCCCTGGTCCCCAGCCCAGCCCGGTCCCCAGCCCAGCCCAGCCTAGCCCTGTCCCCTGTCCCCAGCCCAGCCCGGTCCCCAGCCCAGCCCTGTCCCCTGTCCCCAGCCCAGCCCGGTCCCCTGTCCCCAGCCCAGCCCCAGCCCAGCCCGGTCCCCAGCTCAGCCCCCCTCCCCTCCCCTCCCCTCCCCTCCCCTCCCCTCCCCTCCCCTCCCCTCCCCTTCCCTTCCCTTCCCTTCCCTTCCCTTCCCTTCCCTTCCCTTCGGAACTCGGCTGTGCTCCAGCCCCTCTTCCTGCCTCTTTCTGCTCCACCCTTTTCCTGCCTTGCTCCTGCAGGGGGTGGGTGGGAGGTCCTGGCTTCCGCCCGCTGGGAGGTGGCCCAGCAGCCCTGCCCGACTGGGAGGTGGGGGTGCTCACCCTGGCCCTCAACAGCTGGTCTCAAGCTTTTGCCGCCAAAGTAGCAGCTTGGGACCAGGACGCTAAATATAGACCAGTGGGGTCGAGCAAGGGCGCCCCAGGGCCAGCCCGGCTCTCACAGGGGTTGTAGGAGGCTCAGTGGCTGCGCGGGTGAGGGGCAGGTGTGTGTGTGGGGCACGTGTGCAGGGCACAGCCAGGTGTGCATTCCTGCAGAGGGGATGCCAGGTGGAAGGTGGAGAGAAGCTCCCAGGAGGGTGTGTGTGTTCGGGGAGGGGCTCGTGCTGCAGGGGTGGTGCGGGAGAGCAGAGGGAGCCGGCCCCGACGTGCCCCCGCCCGCAGCTGAGAAGGTGAGCTCCCTGGGCAAGGACTGGCACAAGTTCTGTCTCAAGTGCGAGCGCTGCAACAAGACGCTGACGCCAGGCGGCCACGCCGAGGTGAGCCCGGGCCTGGGCCTGGGCGGGCGGGCGGCCGGGGGCGGCGCCACCGTGGCCCTGCGCTCACCCGCGCTCCCCCACAGCACGACGGGAAGCCCTTCTGCCACAAGCCCTGCTACGCCACGTTGTTCGGGCCCAAAGGTGAGGCCCCTGCCCCGGCCCCCTGCGCCCTCGGCCCACTCACACCCCTCCCCGGAAGCCCTCGCAGCCTTTGAAGCCCCGGCCCCCACGCTGAGAGCCGGGTGCGGGATGAGGCCGCACGCGGCCACCCACACACCTGCCACCCGCAGGCGTGAACATCGGCGGTGCCGGCTCCTACATCTACGAGAAGCCCCCGGCCGAGGGGCCTGCAGTCACCGGCCCCATCGAGGTCCCCGCCGCTCGACCTGAAGAGCGGAAGGCGAGTGGCCCCCCCAAGGGGCCCAGCAAAGGTGCGCCGGGCTCGGGGAGGGCCGGGCTCAGGGCGGCCGGGGCGCAGCCCAGGGCGGGCCCCCGCTGACCCCACGTCCGCCCCCAGCCTCCAGCGTCACCACCTTCACCGGGGAGCCCAACGTGTGCCCTCGCTGCAACAAGCGAGTGTATTTCGGTGAGTGCCGCCCCGCCCACCCCCGCGCCGCCGCTCCGGGGCGCGCGCGGTAAGCCCACTCCCTCCTGCGCAGCCGAGAAGGTGACGTCGCTGGGCAAGGATTGGCACCGGCCATGCCTGCGCTGCGAGCGCTGTGGGAAGACGCTGACGCCGGGCGGGCACGCGGAGGTGTGCGGGATGCGGGGCCCGGGCTGCAAGGGCGGCGGGGGCTGCCCCCTGGTGGCTGGAGCGGAGGCTCGCAGCGCGCCTGCGGAACCGCGCCCGCGCTGGGCACTTCGGGGCCGCGCGGGAGAGGGGCGGGCCCGCGCGGAGGCTCCCTGGCACGGGCAGGGCGCAGCTTCGGGGAGGCGGGCGCTCAGCAGCCTGTCCCCTCCTGCAGCACGATGGCCAGCCCTACTGCCACAAGCCCTGCTATGGAATACTCTTCGGACCCAAGGGTGAGTGTGGCCTGCAGTCCCGGCCTGGAGGGTGTGGTGCGCAACGGCACAGCGGTTTCCCCCTTGGCACCACAGCCTCTTTCCACAGGAGTGAACACCGGAGCAGTGGGCAGCTACATCTACGACGCCCCTGAAGGTCAAGTGCAGCCCTAGGCACCAGCCAGCCTCAGGAGCAGGGCCCCTCGGCCTCGATCCCTGCTGGGCCCTGCCTGGCCCAGCGTCCGCCTGCCAGCTGGTGGGCGCTGGAGCAGGAGGGAGCCACCCCCTGCCTGCCCTTGTCCCCGTGGGTCCCCGGAGGCTCTCTCTCTCCTGCCACCTCCTCCCATGTTATTTATGCCCCCCCATGCTTCACAGCACCCCTCACAAGCACCCCCCACCCTCACGTGGGCCACACCCAGCCGTGCAGACCTGTGCTGTCAATAAAGTGTGGGAGGACAGCAGGGCCTGTGTGTGTGTGTGTGTGTGTGTGTGGCAGGGGTGGAGGCGGGGGCACCCTGTTCCCAAGGTGAGGGCGGAGGGGCATCCAGAGTGGGTTCCCATGGGCGGGGGAGGAGCTTGGGCCACGTGGGACAGTGGTGCCAGCCCTGGGACCAGGTGAGGGGCTGGGCCCAGCCAGAGACCAAAAGTTGTGGGCGGGCCTGGACAGCGGGGGGTTGGGGTGGGGTGCAGGTGACAGAGGAGCCTGTGCAGAGGCCGGGGAGCTGGTGAGGAGGGACGAGGTGGGCTGGGTCACCCGAGACAGTTTGGAGGGGCTGGTGCAGTCCCCAGGGGGGTGGGCAGCTTTGGTGGGGGAGCCTGCCTCTCATGGGTGGGGCAGGCCCAGGCACAGAAGGAGGGGGTCAGCCCAAGAGTGAGGGCAGGGGGCTTCAGCTCCTCCCTGCCCAGGTGCCCTAGCTGCTGGGTTTGCAGTGCTGAGGGTCATCCCTGGCTTCCCCAAGTGGCGCCTGGGCAGCCCCCTCCTCACTCTGCCTCTCCACCTGCCCTACCTGTGATGTCCACTAGAGGGCAACCTTGATCTTCCACTGGGAGCTGGGCTGGACCTTCTTCCCTCTGCCCTTGGCCCCGTAGGGACCCCCAGCCTGAGCTCATGCTCCCACCCCCAGATGCTGGCCCCTCCTACAGCAAGGGGCACCCAAGCCTGCTCACCCCTCACCCCAGTGCTGCAAGGCACTGTCACACCTCCAGGGCCTCCACACAAGTTCCTCCCTGGCCAACCCTGCCCGCCCCCCTCCCCCCCGGCCTGCACAGACAGGTCTGGACGCTGGGCCTAGTGTCCTGTGAGCAGCCATCCATGTCCTTGGTTGGGGGGCGGGGGCGCCGCGGGGCTGGTTCTAGCATCTCCAGTGGCACCACCGCCCTCCTGGCAAAGTCGGAGCCAGGCAGCCTGGCCAGCTCCCCGAGGCTGGAATGTGCCAGAATGTGGGCCTGTGGCAGGAGCAGGGGGGCTGCAGCAGGTTCAGGCAGGTGGGGGCTCCGCTGGGCTCCCCTCCTCGTCCCCTCCCGCCTGGCCCAGGCTTCCGGGTGGGGGTTCGTTTTGGTGAGCACCCCGGGTCTCCACCCTCAGCGATGGCTGCCTGTGTGGCCTGGGATGCTGTCTGCCCCGGGGGTGGGAGGCTGCTGAAGCACAGCCGGGCCCCTCCCTCGGGAGCCTCCAGTGGAAACTATGTCTCCAGGACAGGCAGTGGGCACTGCGCCCTCCCCTCCCCTCCTCCCCAAAGCCTGCGTGGCCAGGGCCAGGGCAGGCGCACATTTGTGTGCGAGGAGGGAGGGCGGGGGTCTCCGAGGGCTGAGAAGCTTCGGCCAGGCTGGGACAGCAGAGCCCCACCCCAGCCTGGCCCATTTCCTGCTGGGGGTGGCTGACGTGTTGCCATGTTTGTTTCTAAGGGTTGTCATGGAAACCGGGGCGGGTGCCGCTACTGTTTGTCTCTGGGCGTTGCTGGGCAGCCTTGGTGGGGGTGGCCCGATGCCGACACACTGCCAGGCTCCCTTGGCACCAGCTCCAGGAGGGCCCCCTCCCTGTTCCTGCCAGGTGCTTCCTCGGTGCCCACAGCCCTGCTTGGAGAGGAGCAGGAGCAGGTGCACCCCTCCTGGAGGCTGCACCCTCACCCAGGCAACCCAGGCCTGGCTCCCAAATGTCATCGGCCCCCCACTCCCCTTTCAGAGACTTTGGGAGCCAAGTTGGGGAGCACAGCCGACCTCTCCCCACCGGGTCAGCCTCCGCAATCCGGTCCCTCACTTCCTGCCACCTCTGTGGGGTTGGCTCCCTTCCCCGAGTCCCAGGCTCCAGCCTATGCCCAGCTTCCTCCGGGCCAGCGACCCCAGCCTCAGCACCGCCTGCCCCAGACTCCCCCAGCTCTGCTCCCCCTTCCGACCCCACCCGGCTCAGGCCCCCCCCCCCCCCCCCCCCCGTCCTCTAGCGCCTGTGGGTGGCCTGGTGGGTCGGTGTCAAGAGACTGCCTCGGGCTCCTGGGGGCTGGCGTGGGACCAGGACACCAGGTACGAGCTGCACTTCTCCCGAGGGCCCGGCTGGCGCCGGGCTGGGCTCAGAGCCGCAGACAGCGAGGCCGCACCGGCTGGGCAGGTGAAGCCGGAAGTCAAGGCAGTTGTGGCTGGGCTTGGCTCCAGGAGACAGACTGGGCACCAGGCCCTAGGCAGGGAGCGTACCCTGCTGGGGACGAGGCTGGCAGAGGGAGCCCCGTCCCTCCGCACCGCGCTGACTGCTGTGGTGCCTCTCCCCTGGGCCTGCAGGTGAGGCCTGGAAGGCCAGACCCCTCCCCTCCCTGTCCCCAGCCTCCCCCCACCCTGGGGTCCGGCCTCAGCCAGTCCAGACGGGGTCCCAGGAGGCAGAGCTGCTGAAAATAGGCTCTGGGAACTTGTGCTCAGCTGAGGGGAGGGGTGGGGAGGGTGGACCCTGGGGAGCCCGAGTCGCAGGCCAGGCCTCAGCCCGTTTTCCATTGCAGAGGGCATGGGGCTGGAGCAGCCGGGGCGGGGCGCAGGGGCGGGCAGCTTCCACCCCTGCATACTGATGGGGCGGGGCCCCACGGCGCCAGGTGCAGCGCTTCCCTGTGGGGCCGGGTCAGCAGGCACTTCGAGGCCATCCCCGCTGTCTGTGGATGTCCCGGAGCCGCATCCCAAGGGGAGGAGCGGGGGGCGGAGGAACCCGAGGCACCCGGTCGGTCTGGGCCCCCAAGGTGTCCCTATGCATCCTGGTGCAGTGCAAGGCCCTGGAGTGGCTTCCGGGGGGCTCTGTGTCCTCTGCCCCCCAACTCCCACTTCTGTGACACATCCCAGCTGCCCCGGCAGAGTGGGAGGGGGACGAGGAAGGCCCAGTGCTGCTGGCCCAGGAGGTGGCCACGGGGCCTGCCTGGCTGAGCTCAGAGGGCGTGGGGCTGGGCAGGGCGGCCCGGACAGGGGCCTGGTGGAGGAAGGGGGCTGTAGCCACCCCCGAGGTGGGGGTTCCAGTGTTGGGAGGGTTCCAGGGATTGTCTCCGTGAGTCTGTGTATTTGTTGATGCGTGTCTCTGTGTGTAGATATGTCTGTCTTTGTAAGTCTGTCTCCGTGTGACTCCGTGTGAACCAACAAACAGGGCACAGCCCAGGGCCCTTGGCCCCACTCGGCACCCCCCCCCCATGACCATGGCAACGGGAATAACAGCAGGGAAGGCAAGGAGGGAGTCATCACCCCCGTTTTCAAGGGGGGGCTCCCCCTGGGCAGGGCAGAGTGTGGGGGAAGGGGCAGGATAAGGGTGAGGGCATTGCTCCCTCTGGCCCCAGCCCAGGTCCCCGTGGTGAGCGGCTATCATGTGTGGTTGGGTGGAGACAGGAACGGATATCTGTCTTAGAGACTACGCACGTGCCCACACCCACACAGGCACGCCTGGAGGCAGCCAGACACACGGGTGTGTCCAGGTGTCTGTCCCCGGAGCCCCTGGCGCACAGCGTCCTGGCAGGGTGTGTGGAGTGGAGGCGGCCAGGCGGCTCCTCAAGGCTGCCCTGGGCCTTGCTGGCCTCTGCCCCTGCCCTGCTGGTCTCTGCCTCGCCTGGGAGCCAGGACCTTGGCTGAAGGGCGGGCGGCTGGCCTTACTGCAGCCAGTCCAGGTGGCCCCTTTGTGCCAGGTAGGGAAGGCAGGTGGGCAGCGCTGTGCGTGGGCCTCAGGCCGGCCAGGCGGGGACAGAGCCCAGACGGGGTGGGTGGCTCCAGTGGGCCCCGTGGAACATCTTTCTGCAGAGCTGAGGACTCCAGGCGCTGTCAGGGAGGGGGCACTCTGCCCTGGACACGGGCGGGGCCCTGAGAGCTCCCCTCTCTCCAGGCAGGGTCTGGGGACTGCAGGCACATGGCCCCAGATCAGGCCTGGAGGCTGATGGGGGGCTTTGGGAAGGTAAGCCAGGGCTGGGTGCCTGGAGGGCCCCTGGGGCAGCCGAGGAGGGGCGTTCCCTGGACAGGCCCAGAAGTGACGTTGTTTGCTCCAAATGGGTGTGTCCAGGGCAGATGAGGACACTGGTAAGGGGGCGGCAGCCGTCCTAGAAGCAGGACGGGAGGCCCCCCCGGGGGGCGCTGTGATGTGAGAGGGTCTCAGAGAGGGGGTGCTAGTTGACCACCGCCCTGGGGAATGCACCAGGCCTGCGGGGTGGGGGGAGAGGGGAGAAGGGGCCCTGGGCAAGGGCTCAGCTCCAGCAGGCCAGGACAGAGGCGCAGCCCCAGGCCGGTGGTCAGCCGGTCAGCCCTTGAGGGTGCAGAGGGCGGGCCGTCTCTGCCTGGCACGGGGTGGGTCAGCCTCACCTCACCTGGGTGAACTCTTCCCCCACGGCTCATCCTCCTCCTCCCCCCAGGCCCAGAGTCCGCCCTTCTGAACTCCCCCGCCCCGGGATATTCCCGCTGCGGCCCGACGGGCTTCCCCACGGAGGGGGGCGGGGCCCCGCGGGACCTGGGGCGGGGCGGGCCTTCCGTAAAACGCTCCCGACCCTCTTGGTTGGGAGGGGGGCAGAGTCAGAGCGTGCGCAGAATTTTCACATTTCTGAAGTGACCTGTCCAGCCTCTGGCAGGTACGGGATGGGGCTGGGGTGGCTTCCTGCTCCGAGACGGCCGGCGCGGCCCCCGGTCCCTGGACGCGCCGGAGCAGCCCCGCCCTCCGGGCTCTGCGCTCGGCCCCGCGCCGTCACCCCGGGGGCGGGCGGGGACCACATGACCTTTTCTCGGCCCGTCTGCCTGGATCCGAAGTCCCCGGGGTCCAAGTCCCCGGCTCGGGGGCGGGGCGCGGGGGGCGGGTCTCCAGGGGGCGGGGTCCCGGGCCCCTGAAAGGCGCGGACCCGGCGGGACGCACCCAGTCTTGCGCCCACAGTTCGCTCCCGCCGCCGCAGCCGCCGCCATGCCCAAGTGCCCGAAGTGCGACAAGGAGGTGTACTTCGGTAAGCGCCCGGGGCGAGGAGGACCGTGGGCACCCCGCAGGAGTGTGGCGCGGTGCCCTCCGCCGCCGCCGTCTCTGCTGTCTGGCTCCCGCCTCTTCTCGGGCGCGCAATGGGCAGGAGCGTGGGGCTGGGCCCGCCCGGAGCAGAGCAGAGACCGACGCCCGGGGCGCGGTCCGGGTCCAGGGCGCGCCGGCCGTGCAGGAAACGGAAAGTCCCCGCTGCTCCGGGGAGCGCGACCTCCCCTTGCTCCTGCTGGACTGTGGCCGGGGAAGGGGCTGGACTGCCGGCCGAGAGCTCCGGCCGGAGCTCAGGGGCTCCCCTGCTTCTCTGCAGCCGAGCGGGTGACCTCCCTGGGCAAGGACTGGCACCGACCCTGCCTCAAGTGTGAGAAGTGTGGGAAGACGCTGACTTCCGGGGGCCACGCCGAGGTAGGTGGGTCGGGGAGGGCGCGCGGCAGGAGTGGGGCTCTGCCCTCACCGCGCGGCTCTCTTCCTGTAGCATGAAGGCAAGCCCTACTGCAACCACCCCTGCTACTCAGCCATGTTCGGACCCAAAGGTAGGCCCCCCCATGCCTGCACGGCCACCCCAGCGGCCTGCTGCCCCGCGACCCTGCGCCCGCCCTGGCCCTGAGCTGACCGCTGCCCTGTGTCCCCGCACCCGCCCTGCGGCTGAACTGACTGCTCCCCCGTCCCTGCAGGCTTTGGGCGCGGCGGAGCCGAGAGCCACACTTTCAAGTGACCCCAGGTACAGCCATGCAGCCTGCCCTGGAGCGGGGTCAGGTGGTGGAACCCTGCTCACTTCCCCTTGTCTGTCTGCACAGGTGGTGGAGGCCCCTTCGCCATCGCCCACTGGGCCACACCCCCAGATGCCCAGGGCTCCCGCGTAGCCCCCTATGCACTCAATAAACCTGAGCACTTGGGAAGACCGTGTGTGTGCTTGTGCGCCGAGGCATCGACACCCCAGGGCCTGCCAGGGCACCCGCTCGCCCTCCTGGGGCCGCCAGGTGCAGGCCCCTCAGCCATCCGCAGACCCACAGAGGCATCCTCCGGCCCCGGCCGGCCACAGGGTCAGCAGGAACTTGCCAGGGGCGGATGGGCGGTCAGAGGGTGAATCAGCCGCCGCTTCTGGGCCCCTCGGAGGAGCGGCTGCCTCCCGCCCTCTCCCCACTTCCTGCCGCCCCACCCTTGTCCCCACCCCCAGGCCAGCCTTTCTGCAGAGGCTGTGGCTCCGCCACCGCCCGGAGGCCTTTAGCGCATCTCCTTCCCGGGGACGGAGACGCCTCAGGAGGCCTTTAGCCCGTCTCCTTCCACGGCGCCGCACTGCGCACTGCAGACCCGCCGCGCGGCAGTACTGCGGGGTTGTTTGGACACCGTCCTCATGGGAGCGGGAGCTGCCCAGGGGGCTCCCTATCTTCATGGCCTTCACGACATCCCAGGGGTCTCAGCCCAGAGGTCTCAGCCTGGGCTCTGGTGGGTGGGCTGCAGGCCCGAGCTGGAGGAGGACGCGGGGTCCTGTGCGGGCAGTGCGTGGGATCAGGGGTCTGCGGGAGTCACGTGTTTGGGGCAGAGGGCAGGCAGGTGCCCTGGTGAGATCTGGGTTTCCCGCTGGACAGCACGGGGTCCCCAGCCCACGCCCGTGTGGCTCGCAACCTGGACTCGGAGTGACCCGTGGGGGGCTGGGCGGGGGTGCGTCCCAGCCGGAGGCAGCGCAGGGAGGGCCGCATCTGTGTCCCCAAGGCCGCGGGGTGCGATGCGGGCTGCTAGTGGGAGGGGCCCAGAAAGACACCGCCTTGCGCTGCGGACGCGGGAGAAAAACAAAAACGGCAGACAGGCAGTCAGGAGACCCAAGGCCCGGCCAGGGGCGTGGGCGGCGGCCAGGCCGGAGGTCCCCAGTGCTTCGCACCGCCTCCCGCCCCGCCTCGTCCCCCGCGCCGCACCGCGGAAGGGCGTCGGTCCGTGCCCCGCCCCGTGTCTGCCCTGCGGCGGCGCCCAGGCCACCCCATGCAGGAATCCAAGTGGGGCCTTCGCTCTCGGGCGACCTGTCCGCGGCCACATGCCGGCGTGGGGTGCAGCCTTCCGGGAGCCGCGGGCCGCCCCGTCTGCGGAGTTCGCGCCCTGCGTGGAGCCGCCGCGACGCCAGGGGGCGCCCTCGAGCAGTGGCGAGGGGGCCGCGGAGTGGCGTTCGGTGGGCGGGGACTGGGCGGAGCGGGCGTCGGGCTTCGCCGCGATTGGTCCGCGAGGGCGGGCTCTTTGGAGCAGGCAGAGCGACGGCCCCGCCCAGAGCCCGGAATGACCTACTCATAGGTCAGACTACGTAGCGCTCAAACGCCAGGGGACGGCTCATTGGGCCAGGGCCGCGGGGGCGGGTCCCAGCTGGCGCGGCGATTGGTTGCCAGCCTCAGCCTGTGACAGTGGCGGGCCCTCTGAGGCACCAGGTCCTGGCTGCATGGGGAGGCGGCGGCGCCGGCTGGCCGGGGCGGCCGGGGTCGGGGCGGGAGCCCTGCCCGAGGCCATCGCCGCGCTGAGTCAGTCGCTGCCCGCCGGACCCAGCCCCGAGGTCTTCCGCCGCGCCAAGTTCGACCGTCCGGAAGCCGTGAGAATGGCGAGGCGGGCGGCCGGGCCAGGCGGGGGCAGGGCTGGCGCAGGAGCACTTGGCTCCGCTCACCGCTCGCCCTTCGCTTTCTGCAGGCCTCCGCGCTCTGGCGGCTTCTTTTCCACGTGCTCTCGCCGCTCGGCGCGGTCGGTGCCTCGGCCTCACTCGGTCCAGGTAAACCCCACCCTCCGTCCAAGCGCCGCCCCACAAGTAGCGTGGCTCCGCCCTCGGCGAGCCCGCCCCGGCGAGCCCCTCCCTCCCGCAGAGCCCCGCCCCCGGCGATCCCGCCCTCCCGCAGAGCCCCGCCCACCCCCGGCGAGCCCCGCCCTCCCGCAGAGCCCCGCCTACCCCCGGCGAGCCCCGCCCTCCCACAGAGCCCCGCCCCGGAGAGCCCGCCCTCCCGCAGAGCCCCGCCCACCCCGCTGTGCTCAGCCAGCCCTTGGCGCGCGGGCCACACCTCCTAAGGGGTCTGCTGCGACCCCGGCAGCCCCTGGGCACCTCATCCTGGCGCGCGTCCCTGATTGTCAGAGCGTGTCGTGCGGGGGTTTCTTGGAGGCCGGAGTGATGTGGGAGCCCCCTGAGCTGGTGACCTTCGGCAGAGGCGCGCGCTCGCTGGGTGAAGTCAGCACTCAGCTCCCAGGGCTATCAGAGGCCGGCGCTGGCACGACTTCCTGAGGACGGCTCCCAGGGCAGCCGGGAGCTGCTGCTGGCCCTGTCCTGGCTCCTGGCCCGCGGACCCCTCCTCGAGCGGCTGCTGGCCCAAACTCGCGTGCGGCTGGGTGACGAGGTGCCTGCGCTGGAGGTGGGTGTGGCGCGAGCGTGAGCCCCGCCCAGTCCCGCTGTGTCCACGGTCTCAGGGCCAGGCTCTGCACTTCCGTGCCCCCCGCAGTGTGAGTCCCTGGCCTGGCCTGGCCCGGCCGTGGAAGCAGAGGGCCCCGTGGACGTGCGCCGTGTGCAGTGGCTGCTGGGGAAGCTGCGGTTGCGGTGGCGAGGCCTGGCCTCCGGGCAGCGGGAGCACAGTGCCCTCCTGAGCAAGGTAGGCCCGCGGGCCAGCTCCGTGTGGGCGTGGCCTGAGGCTGGTGGGGCCCAGGACTTCACAGAGCTGGGCAGTGGGGAGCAGGTGTCCAGGAGGCAGGCTGGAAGCGGGGTGTCAGCGAGCCCATGGGGTCTTTGGTTTTGAAGATTTATTTATCTGAAAGGCAGAGTTAGCGAGAGAGGTCTTGCTCTGCTGGTTCACTCCCCAGATGGCCACCACGGCTGGAGCTGGGTCAGGTGGAAGCCAGGAGACAGGAGCTTCTTCCGGGTCTTCTTGTGCACAGGTCCAAGTCCCTGGGCCATCTCCCACTGCTTTCCAGGCCATAGCAGGGAGCTGGGTCGGAAGTAGGGCAGCCGGGACTTGAACCCATGCCCACAGGTGGCGGCTTTACCTGCTATGCCACAGCGCCGGCCCCTGGGCTCGGCCTTTATAAAGAGTTATTGACTTGTTTGAACGGCAGAGCAACAGAGAGCGAGTGATCGAGCGAGGAGATTTTCCATCTCCGGCTCACTCCTGGACGAGGCCAGGTGAATCCAGGTGGGTGCAGGAACCTGCATGGGAACAGAGGAGCCGGGACCCAAAGCGGCGCTTCACTGTGGGTGGGGGTGACCCGCTGGCCACAGCCCCTGCCCCCGGGCTGCCGCCTCCTACCCAGAAGTCACTCGCGTGGAGTGGGCACCCCTCCCCCACCGCAGCCCCGGGGGGGTCGCTGATGGGGGTGACAGACTCCTCTGGGTGCAGCTGCAGGGACACTGGTGCCCAGGGGTGTGCCTGGTGTGCCGTGAGGGCTGCCGGGCACTGTGCCCTGCTCCTGGCCTTGGCTGCAGCCGCTCCACCTCGCAGAGCCTGCCCCGTTAACCTGTGCTTCACCTCTCTGGGGTCCCCTTGCCTCCAGGTGCTCTGCTGCCCCCAGGGCTCCCTGCCCCCAGGGCTGTGCTTCCCCTGAGGCCTGTGAGGGCCTTGGAGACTGGCGCTCCCCGAGCCCAGGGCGAAGCACTGTGCCCGGCCGTGCCCTGGCACTCCCCGGGGAGCTGTGGGGTGGGTTGCAGGCGCCCTCTCCAGGCCTGGCCAGCACCAGTGAAGCGGTGGGCCCTCTGGACCCTGTCCCCTCCCCTGGGGGTGAGGGGGTCTCCGAAGGCTGGGGTGGGGCCACCCCCTCAGGCTGGTGTTTGCACCGGCTGTTTCAGATCCACAGGTATACCCACGGCTGCCATGGCAACCACAGCCTCGGCCACCTGTCTGTCACGGAAACAGAGGCGCTCAGAGACCCAGAGAACGGCCGGCAGGTGTGCGCTGGCTGGGGGCAGCAGGGCGGCCAGGGAGGGCGAGCGTGGCTGTCGGGCTTCGAGCTGTGGGTGTCCCTGTGTCTGCCACACTTGCCAATGCCACCCACATTCCTGTCTGTGTCACGCTCGCTGATGTCACTCATGTCCCTGTGTCTCTGCCACTCGCCAGTGTCACTCATGTCCCTGTGTCTCTACCACATTCGATGTCACTCATGTCCCTGTGTCTGCCACACTCGCCGATGTCACCCATGCCCCTGTGTCTCTGTCACACTCGCTGTCATTGCTGCCGTGGGCCATGCAGGTGTCCATGGGCCCCTCCAGCCCCGTGGACCTCCTGTGCTTGTAGGGTGCAGAGCAGAGGCTGTGCACAGGCGGGGTGTGAGGTGTGGAGGGCCCTGGTGTGGGTGCACAGACTGGGTGTGAGGTGGGAGTGAGCCGTGTGGAGGGCCCGGGTGTGGGTGCACAGGCGGGGTGTGAGGTGGGAGTGAGCCGTGTGGAGGGCCCGGGTGTGGGTGCACAGGCGGGGTGTGAGGTGTGGAGGGCCCGGGTGTGGGTGCACAGGCGGGGTGTGAGGTGGGAGTGAGCCGTGTGGAGGGCCCTGGTGTGAGTGCACAGGCGGGGTGAGGTGTGGAGGGCCCGGGTGTGGGTGCACAGGCGGGGTGAGGTGTGGAGGGCCCGGGTGTGGGTGCACAGGCGGGGTGAGGTGTGGAGGGCCCTGGTGTGGGTGCACAGGCGGGGTGAGGTGTGGAGGGCCCGGGTGTGGGTGCACAGGCGGGGTGAGGTGTGGAGGGCCCGGGTGTGGGTGCACAGGCGGGGTGTGAGGTGTGGAGGGCCCGGGTGTGGGTGCACAGGCGGGGTGAGGTGTGGAGGGCCCGGGTGTGGGTGCACAGGCGGGGTGAGGTGTGGAGGGCCCGGGTGTGGGCAGGGACGGCCACGTCACCCAGCGCCTCTCATCTGGAAGGAAGGTCGGTGTTCTGTGCAGAGCCACAGGGAGGTGCTAACCAGGGGAGGGGCTGTGGGCGTGGCTGCAGGTGGCTGGGGGCTGGGCACCAAGTGCTGCTGCGGGCATGCTGTGTCTGCTGGGCCAGCAGCATGGGCCACGTGGCAGCTCCCAGTCCCCACCCCCATCTTCCCACAGCCCCTGGGTGCCGTCCTATCAGCGGGGGATGAGGGGGTGTTCTGGACCTAGCCCCCAACCCGCGGGACTCACAGCAGGGGTAGCGTGGGGGGCCTTAGGCGGGCCTAGAGGGGAGGCCCAGCTCTGGCCAGCTGGTTGGGTGGGGCCAGCTCACTGCAGGAAGGACCCTGGGGCCCCCAGGGAGACTGCTTGGCTGGCCGCCGGCCAGCTAGCCTGGTGTGCAGCAGCGGGGGCTGGAGGGGTGCATGGGCGAGACCCTGGGGCCGTCCTGTCTGTGCTGGGCCCTGTGTGAGGTCTCGCCTGGCCGTGTCTCTTGGCAGCTGCTGCAGGCGCTGGAGAGGGAGAATGCGCGCCTGGAGGCGGCCGTGCGGTGGCGGGCGTGCGAGCTGGTCTACTGGCAGTGGATGGTGAGGAAGCCCCGCCCCCCCGGGGACCCACCCCTCAGTGATGCCCATGGGGGGCACCTCTGAGGAGGCCGTGGGCTTGTCAGGGTCAGTGGCCTCTGCACCTGCTGGGTGACTGGCCTTGGGGGCCACCTCTGTCCCCTGGGCTCTGGGTCCTCGTCCCTGCTGGCTGCCCCGCGAGTACACGGTCACGAGGGTCTCTCTGCAGGACACCGTCCTGGGCGCCTGCCCCCCGGAGGTCCCCGCTGCAGCCTCACAGCCCACGTCTCTGCCCAGGATCCCTGAGCACAGGGCCGGCGAGTTGGAGCTGGTGGCACGGGAGCTGCAGGGCCTGCAGGAGGCGCTGCGGGAGGCAGCAGAGCCCAGGCGCGCGGCCTGGGAGGCCAGGGTGAGCCCCTTCTGGGTGGGGTTGGAGCGCTTGGCCTGTGCCCTTATTTTTTGTTTTTATTTGAGAGGTGTAGAGACAGAGAGACAGGTGGAGTCTGAAAGGGCACTCCCATCCGCGGGGTCGCTCCCTAAATGCTGGCCGTGACCCCTGGCCGTGACCTGAGTGGGGAGCTTGGCACCCGGTCTCCCACTGGGGCGGCAGGGTTGCGACCACTGGGGCCATCGCCGCCGCCGCCCAGGTAGCAGGGAGCTGGAGCCAGGAGTGGAGCCGGACCCTACCCCGGCGCTTCGCTGGCATCTTAGTCACCAGGCTAAGCAGCTGCGGTGGGAGTCCCTGCCGCCCCTGTGGTGCCTGCCCCGGTGTGGGGTCTGAGCTCCTGCAGCGGGTCCTCCAGTGCTGTCTGTGGGCCTGGCCGGGCCATGTCTTTGCCGCTGGTGGTCACTCCTCCCCCTCGGCTGTGGCCTGCTGGAGCCAGGCCGCTGCTCACAGCCCATAGCGAGTTGGGGCTTAGCAGGTGGTCCTGGGGAGACCTGAGGCCAGAGGTTGGGGACCCTGTCCCTGTTGGGATCCAGGGGTCCTGGGGACCGGCTACTGCTGGCTTAGGGTGGAGCAGAGCCTGGGATGGGGGCCTTTAGCACCGGCCCACAGTCCATTTGCTGTCCTCCAGGTGGGAGGTGAGGCCTGAGTCCTCGCAGGGGAGCCGTGGGGCTGCAGGGTGGCCGGGTCCAGTTGCTGGGGCCAGGGGAGTGTTGGGCCTGCGGCCGGCCGGGGTCTGCTGAGGCCGGCGTCCTGTTGCAGGTTGGCGGCCAGGGCCAGGGGCCGCGGGGGAGCTTCTCTCGGCGGGCTGTGCAGGAGGCCGTGCAGCAGCAGCTTGCGGCCCTGCAGCGGTCCTGGGAGCAAGACCCTGGCCCTGCCCGGCCCCTTGGGCCCCACCGGCTGGTGAGAAGCAGAGACGGGACAGCAGCAGGTCAGGGCCTGCAGGCAGCAGAGGTCATCGGGATGCTGAGGAGCCAGGAGGCCTGCCTGGAAGCGGTGCTGCACCAACTCCAGGGCCAGTGTCGGCAGGAGCTGGCCAGGCTGGCAGGAGCCCTGCCTGCCCTTGTCTGGATCCCACCGCCTGGACGCTGAGGGCCTGTAGTCCTGGCCGCCTCGTGTGGGCGTCAGGAGCAGAGACGGGGCAGCAGCTGTCCTGAGTGGCCAGCAGCACCCTGGAGGGCATGGGCTGGGCTCCAGGAGTGGGTGGAGACTTGCCTGGGGTCTGAGCACTGAGGGTCTGTGGGAGGGACTTGGAAATAAATGGTGGGGGCCTCCCTGTGCAGGAGGCCCCGGCCCCTGCTGCCCCCCTTCTCAGGTTCTCTGTCTGGGGGTCGGGGCGAGAGCTGAGCACAGGCCCTGGGAGGCAGCCCCGGGGCGGTGCTGGCCGAGGCCGGCAGGGTGCAGGGAGCTCCTGCAGCATAGGGCGTATTGGGCCCTCAGCACCCTGCACAGGCCTCCCCTTGGGGGGACAGTCTGGACAACCCATCTCACCGCACACCTGGGACATTGATGGGCCTGGTGTGCGGGTGCACTGGGGCGGGGGTGCGGGCAGGCGGCTATGTGGGTGCACTGGGGTGGGAGTGCAGGTGGGTGCACTGGGGTGGGGGCAGGTGGCTGTGTGGGTGCACTGGGGCGGGGGTGCGGGCAGGCGGCTGTGTGGGTGCACTGGGGCGGGGGTGCAGGTGGGTGCACTGGGGTGGGGGCAGGCGGCTGTGTGGGTGCACTGGGGCGGGGGTGCAGGTGGGTGCACTGGGGTGGGGGCAGGTGGCTGTGTGGGTGCACTGGGGCAGGGGTGGGTGGCTGTGTGGGTGCACGGGGGCAGGGGCTGGCGGCTGTGTGGGTGCACTGGGGTGGGGGCGGCTGTGTGGGTGCACTGTGGCGGGTGGGCGGCTGTGTTCTTCCTGGGTGGTGCCTGTGGACAGAGGAGCTTTGTTCCAGAGGCTGCCTGGTGAGCCCAGCGCAGCTGTGACAAAGGCTGCTCTGTCTGGGGATACAGCCTTTGGGCACTGCAGACCCTCTGGGAACACGTCTTGTAGGCTCGGCGGCCGCCTATGCCCCCTGGAGTATGGGCTTGGGTTTCAGCCTCCTTCCCTGGGGTGGACGCGTGGTACAGCCCGGGTTCTGGCTGTCCGTCCCTGGGCACAGGTCTCAGGAGCACCGGGTCGCAGGGGCTGGGGGGGCGGCCTGTGCCACACTCCCTGCCCTGGAGCCCTGCCCCCAGCTCTCCTTGCCCCTTCTGCCCGTGGGCTCCAGCTCTGCTCCACGCCCTGGACACAGCCTTGGGCCTGACACGAAGCACCTGCCTTGCCTTTGAGCCCCTGCCTGCCGTAGCTGGCACGCCTGGCCCTGAGAACCTGTTTACAGAGTCCCAGTGCTGCTCCAGCCTGCGGCCTGCACAGGGGCACGCGTGTGCATGTGTGTGCGTGTGTGTGCGCGTGTGTGTGTGTGCCTGCTCCTGCGGGACCTGGGCTGCTGCAGCCCCAGGGCGTGACCTCAGTGTTCCGCGCCAGTCTGGGCCCCAGGGAAGCCCCACGTCCAGGCCTACGGGGCTTCTCTCCCAGGCTGCCCTGGACCTTGCCCAGGGCCTCCATCTCAGAGTCCGCCATCGTCACAGTCGCCCCCACTGCCCAGCCCCTGGAACCTCCTGTCTCGGGTCACAGCACCTTGGTCCCTTCCTGCCATCTGGCACAGCTGGTTCCAGGGCCCCACACGGGTCAGGCTGGATGCCCACAGGCGCCAGGTGCCAGGCCCAGCAGTGGGCAGTGGGGGCGGACACCCCTGGAGGAGGGCGCAGCGTCCCACGTGTGTTCCCACAGAGATGCGGAGCAGACGCCCGAGCCGGGAGCTGCAGGGGACCAGGTGCACTGACCGCAGACGAAGCTCAGAGGACTCGGTCCCCTCCAAACTGGGCACTTCAAGTTTTTGTTTCTTTACTTTTGTTTTTAAAGATTTATTTATTTGTTTGAAAGGCAGAGTTACAGAGAGGCAGAGAGAGAGGTCTTCCATCAGCTTGTTCACTCCCAAGTTGGCCGCAACGCTGGAGCTGCGTCAATCCGAAGCCAGGAGCTTCTAGGTCTGCCACATGGGTGCAGGGGGCCAAGGACTTGGGCCATCTTCCACTGCTTTCCCAGGCCACAGCAGAGAGCCGGATCGGAAGTGGAGCAGCCGGGACTAGAACCGGCGTCCCTATGGGATGCTGGCGCTGCAGGTGGCGGCTTTACCTGCCATACCACAGCGCTGGCACTTTGGTTTTAAAGCAACAGTAAGTGAAAACAAAGGTTAACGCAGATTATTTGACATCTGATGGTCACTTCTTGGTCTCCACAGTCCCCTCCCAGCAGGTTAGGATCGACTTCACGTGGTGGGGGCCGGCCTTGGCTCTGGGCAGGCTCTGTGGACGGCCGGCTGACCAGGACCAGGGCCTTGGAGGCCTCCTGCAGCTGCATCTCCCCACAGATGCCCAGCCAGCGGCCACTGTGCCCCACTGGTGTCCAGCTGTGGTTGTAGTTTTTTGGTTTGTTTTTAATATGAAAGGAAGAACGAGGGAGCCCCCCTACCCACTGGCTCACTCCCCAGTAACTAACGGGTGGGACTGACCCGGGGAGGAAGCTGGGAGCCAGGAGTTCCACCCAGGTCCCCCATGGTGGCTGGGGCCCTAGTACAGGAGTCCTGAAGGCCGCCCTCCAGGGCAGATGTTGTGGGCAGGGAGCTGGCAGTGGGAGTGGAGCATGGCGTTGAACCAGGCCCCCTGACGGGGGACATGGTGTCCAGCCGTGTCGTCATCACCAGGCCTGCCCCAGGAGCTGTGTTTTTAAGTGGACTTTTGGGGAAACTTGGTTGGTGGGGCACCGTGGGCTGTGGATAACTCACAGGGAGCTTCTGCCCAGGTCCACGGCCCCGTCCACCTGTGTGCTCCTGAGCAGCTGTGGCCAGCCTGGGGTTCATGGCCCCGCCTTTGTGCGTCAGTCCCAGCCCCTCTGCGGCCCCTGTCCTGCCCTGGCCACACTTGACCTGTTCCTTTGCCTTCCATGAGAGGGTCCACGGGGGCTGGTGGAGGGGCAGCCCCTGTCCTGGCAGGTGGCTGTGGGAGGCCAGAGTGGCCCAGAGGGGGCAGCAGCAGCGGAGGAAGCTGATGCCTGGTGTGGTGCTGCTTCCACGACCCCAACCGCCTGGAGTGGGGCGGGGCTGGCTGGGGAGCGGCAGGGCCTGGGGGTGCAGCCTGGAGTCCCGGGAGGAGGGAGGGGGGGAGGCCTTCGGGGACCAGCACTGTGCCTGTCACCCCAGAGACGGGAGGGACTGGGGGCCTTGCCTGACTGCAGGAAAGGTCAGAAAACACCCAGGAGTGCTGGTCAGGGACCCCAGGGCCTCTTCCTGGAGGGCACTGACCTGGGCAGGATCAGGCCCCGGGGGTCACAGGTTTGGGCTCAAGAGAGGACTGTTGCTGGCATCTAGGGAGTGAACCAGTGGGTGGAAGAACTCTGTGTCTCTTCCTTTCAAACAAATACAATTTATTTTTTTAAAGATTTATTTTATTTATTTGAAAGACAGTTACAAAGAGAGGTAGAGACAGAGAGGTCCTCCATCCACTGGTTCACTCCCCAGATGGCCGATCTGAAGCCAGGAGCCAGGAGCTTCTTCTGGGTCTCCCATGCAGGTGCAGGGGCCCAAGCACTTGGGCCATCTTCTACTGCTCTCCCAGGCCATAGCAGAGAGCTGGGTGGGAAGCGGAGCAGCTGGGACTCGAACTGGCATCCATATGGGATGCTAAATGCCAGGGCTTTAACCCGCTGCGCCACAGTGCCGGCCCCTCAAACAAATACAATTTAAAAACATGAATTGTTTATTTCTGTGGGCGCCAGTTTGAGTCCCGGCTGCTCCACTTCCAATCCGGCTCTCTGCAGTGGCCTGGGAAACCAGTAGAAGATGGTCCAAGTCCTTGGGCCCCTGCATCCACGCTGGAGACCCAGAGGAAGCTCCTGGCTCCTGGCTTCGGACCGGCACAGCTCCGGTTGTTGCAGCCAATTGGAGAGTAAACCAGTGGATGGAAGGCCTCTCTCTCTCTCTCTCTCTCTCTCTCTCTCTCTCTCTCTCTCTCTCTGCCTCTCCTTCTCTCTCTGTGTAGCTCTGACTTTAAAATAAATAAATAAATCTTAAAAAAAAAAAAAGGCAGAGTTACAGAGAGAGAGCGAGCTTCCATCTGCGGGTTCACCTCCCCCCCAATCCATGGCCACAACGGCCAGGGCTGGGCCAGGGGCTTCTTGCAGGTCTCCCGTGGGTGCAGAGCCGGCCCGCGAGCCCTTGCAGGTCTCCCGTGGGTGCAGGGCCGACCCGCGAGCCATCGGCTGCCTTCCCAGTGCTTTAGCAGGGAGCTGGGTCAGAAGTGCAGCAGCTGCTGGCGGGAGGCTGCACTGTCTTGTTTCCTTTTTTCTTTTTTAAGATTTATATACTTATTTCAAAGAGTTATATCTAGAGAGAGATCTCCATCTGCGGGCTCACTCCCCAGATGGGCACAACTGCAGGGCCAGGCCCAGGGTCCAGCCTGGAGCCTGGAACCCTGGGCGCAGGGGCCCTAGCACTGGGCCGTCTTCCTCGGCTTTCCCAGGCCATCAGCAGGAAGCTGGGTTGGGATGGGAACAGCTGGGACTCCGGCTGGCACCAGCACCCATGTGGGATGCTGGCGTCACAGGCAGCCTCCCTCCCCACCATGCTGCAGCGCCGGCCCCGAACAGAGGCTTGGTTTTCCGGTTAAGCAGCCTCGTATTTTTATGGTTACTGTCTCTCTGTGTCTCATTAAACACCCCTTCCAACACAAGGTACTAGAGACCTGTGGTCCCACAGCACACGCGAGGGTTGGGGTCCTCCAGCTTTGCCCTTTGAGACGTGTTTCCACGCACGCGTTATCCGTGGTCCCCACAGCACGCGGGAGGGCCAGGTCCTCTGGCTTTGTCCTTTGAGACGCATTTCCACCCACGTGTTATTCGTGGTCCCCACAGCACGTGGGAGGGCCAGGGTCCTCTGGCTTTGTCCTCTGAGAGACGCGTTCCCACTGGTGCAGCACAGGCCGCTCTCTTGTGGTCGGCCGGGAGCCACCGGGCTTTCTTCCCACGGGCGTCCGGAGCATCCGTGGAGTGGGCTGCTCCGCTGCAGGGCGGCTTTGCCCACGGACAGCGCATTCCCAGCAGCACACCTTGGCCTTCTGGTCCCGCTCCTCCATGGGCTGTGACCTGCCCCCGTCCTCCTCCTAGAAACTCCTGTCCCACAGTGCACAGTGCTGGCCGCAGCTCTGTCTGGACTCCAGCTCCCTGTAATGCACGCTGTGGGACGTGGGTCCCCGTGGGAGACCCAGGCTGAATTCCTGAGTTGTGGGCACCTGGAGAGTGACCCAGTCGGGGAGCTCTGCTCTGCTTGTCTCTGCCTTTCAAACTAAAAAAAGTAAAAATTCTAAAAAAGGAAGTGCAGCTGGTTTATACTCACTGAGCTATTAGAAACAGTCTTGCTAAGCTCACTTCCTCAGTCTAAATCCTCATCTCCCAATTCCTTTCTCTTAAGATTTATTTATTTATTTGAAAGACAGCGTTACAGAGAGAGGTAGAGACAGAGAAAGAGGTCTTCCATCCGCTGGTTCACTCCCCAGATGGCCACAACAGCTGGAGCTGCGCTGATCTGAAGCCCGGAGCCAGGAGCTTCTTCCGGGTCTCCCATGCAGGTACAGGGGCCCGAGCACTTGGGCCATCTTCTACTGCTCTCCCAGGCCACCGTAGCAGAGGGCTGGGTGGGAAGTGGAGCAGCTGGGACTTGAATCAGCCCGCATATGGGATCCCGGCACGGCAGGTGGCAGCTTTACCTGCTGTGCCACAGCGCCGGCCCCTGGATTTCTTTTCGACTTTTGGAAGTACACAGCTGTGTCACCTGGAAAAGCAACAACAGTTCAACGCTTACGTCTGCAGTTTTAATTCCCTTCCCTGCCCCTGTGAGGAGCAGGCTGCCTCCCCGGCTCCTGGGCAGTGCTGTGGGCACCTCTGCCCGTTTCTGCCTTGCAGGCTGGTCCCAACTCCTCGTTGCCAATGTTGCTGGCTGTGCAGGGTTATTGCAGATGCATTTTATCAGATTACAGGAAATCCTCCTCCATCGTTCACCTACTGACAGCTTTTTAAAATAAGTCACGAACAGCCACTGAACTCTATTAAATGCCCACTCTCCATCTGTAGGTATGATCGTGTTTTCCCGGAGTTTGTGAATATGAGGAATTACCTTTCCTGGTTTAAAATTACTCATTGAGAGGCAGAAAGAGGGGTGGGTGGGGGCAAGAGTGAGATCACCTATCCTCTGGGCCAGGCCGAAGCTGGCAGCCAGGGACTCCATCTGCGTCTCCCCCCTGGGTGGCAGGGACCCAGGTCTTTGAGGCACCATCCACGGCCTGGACTGGAAGCAGTGGTCCTGGCTCACCCCAGGACTCTGAAAGGGGCCGCAGGCGCCCCCAGGGCATCCAGCTGCTGGGCCCCGCACCTGCCCCAGGCTGGCCTTTCAACTTCTGGATCTGCAGATCTGTGTTCTTTCCACGCGTCCGTGTCACGCACACAGCACAGGCCCAGAGGCCTCCCCGGCACTCATCTCTTTCTTCAAGTGGCTGCCTGCTGCTCCTGCGCCGTGTCTGGGACCATCCTCCCCACCTCGTGCGCGTCTTTCAGGCCCCAGCAACGCTCCTGTTTGTGGGGTCCCTGGCGTCAGCATTTGCAGCACCATCTTACAGCTGAGTGGGCCGGGAAATCAGGAGCTCAAATCAAGGCTGGCTCCTTCCAGAAGCTCCAGGGCAGAGCCGTGCCCTGCCTTGGGCACCTCCCGCAGGCACCTGCTCCCCTTGGCTCGCGGGCCTGCGCCACCCTCCGACTGCCTTAGAGCAAGCTCAGGAGGTGCTCCCATGGCAAAGCCCCTTTGCCATAGACGTGGGGCTGGCAGGTCGGGGTGGGGGTGCCTCTGCCGCGTGGACACCAAGCCCTGGGTGCCCAGGGCTCTGCGCACCTGCCCTTCCTCCAACCCTCCCAAGGCCTCCCTGCCGGCTGCTTCCTGGGCAGAGGCTGCCTTGGGGTCCTGTGGACCCTTCTCAGGGACTCGAGCCCAGTGGACAGCTGGGGTGTGGCCATCGTGGCCATGCTTGCCTGGGGCCACCCGCAGGGGCGCAGGGCAGACCTGGGAGGGAGTTGGCTCCACCCTTCCCAGCGGTGGGATGCTGGATGTCTCCCTCTGACCCTCGGACTCCGCTTCTGGCTCCCAAAGGACGTCTCCGTGCTGGGGATGGACCCGCCGGTGGTGCGCGGGGGCTCAGCAAAACCAGTTTGGGGAGTGGCAGTTTCAGCCGCAATCCCGGCTGCCTGGCGCTCAGCTTCCCTTCGCTGCGCCCTCTCGGGAGGTCCCGGGAACCTGGATTTCTTCCCATAGCAGGCAGAGACCCCAGCCGCACGCTGGGGCCAGGGCCCAGGGCTCCCGCCGTCGCCGGCCTCGCGGGGCCAACCGCAGCGAGCCGGGCGGCCAGCCCCGCCCCCCGTCGCGGCCGGCTCGCCGGGGACAGCGCTCGGCTGGGACCCGGTCCGGCCGCCTGTGCGGGTGAGTGGGATCCCCGGTGTGGGCGCGGCGCAAGCTCAGGGCTGCGGGTGAGCGTTGCGGCGTTCGGGCCGCGAGCCACCTGCCCCCGCGCCACCTGCCCCCGCCGCGCGCTGCTGTCGCCGTGGCAACCGGAGCGGCCGCGGGCGCCAGGACCCCTCCCCGCCAGCCGGGCGCCCGGCCGAGGGGCGCGGGGCGGGGCCTCCGGGCCGGGGCGGGGGCGGCGCGGCCGGGCGCAGAGGCTCGGGGGCCGGCGGGCGCGGCGCCGCATCTGGCCGGCGGCGGGGTAGGCGCGGGCTGGGGGCCGTGGGGTGGCCACGCAGGCGTCGCCGCCCGGAGCGCGGAGCGGGCCCCGGTCTCTCCTCTGGCGCGCCCGTGGGGGGCTACGCAAGGGTGGGGGACTGGGCGGGCACCGGAGGCCGAGACCCGCGAGTGCGGTCCGGGTAGCCAGGGTCGAGGCCCTGGGCTCCGGTGGGGGGTGGGGCGGGATCCGTGCGGTCGCCGGCGCACCTCGGTCCAGGGTTTGCCGATCGAGGGAGGGAGGCCGCGGCGGCGCGGCGAGCGCGCGGGAGGAAGAGGTCCGCGCGCAGCGGGAGGAGGCCCAGGTGGGCGGGAAGGGGCCTGAGGCTTCCCGGTCAGGCTACGCATCCGGGGGGCGTGAGTTCGGGGCGTGTCGCCGCGAGCCGCAGCTCGGGACCTGGAGCCAGGAGCCAGGAGCCCGGGCTCAGGGACCGCGGAGCCACTCTGTACTCGATCCGGGGGGCTCCGCCCCTTACGTGGCTGTGGGGACCCCCTGGAACCGGAGGTGCCGGGTCCCCGGGGGCCGACCGAGCGCTCTACTGTCAGGGCTGACGTGAGACCTTGTGCCTTTGTCTAGACAGCGGGCGGACCCGGCCCGCAGGCCTGGGGGCTGTGCGCGCTGCGGAGGGGCCCGGCGCCAGGTGTGCGAGGGCCAGGGCAGTGCGGGGCGGAGGGAGGGGGTGGGGAGGCGCCGGGCGACGCTCTGTCCTGGGTGGGAGCCCTGCCCAGAACCCGAGTCCCATCCCGCGATGCCGCCCCGGGGCTCCGGGGCCTCCCCGCTCCCCGCGGAGCGGACCCGTCTCCCCGGGGACAGCCGCAGCCTACCCGGCCTCCGCCGGCAGCCCGGGGGAGGGACGGCGGCGCGGGCGCAGCAGGGACCAACGCCGGGGCTTCGGGGACGCGCGCGGCGGCGAGGAGCCACTTCCGTTCCATTTCCTTCCTGGCGGTGGCGGGAAGGAGGTCTGGGTTCGTCAGGTGGGCCTGCAGCGCCCCCTGGAGGCCCCGCGCCCGGGCTCCGCGTCCTCGCGCGCTCCCCGGGCTCCAGGCGCGTCCACGGCGCGGCACGCAGGAGGCCCCGCGTCCAAGGCTGGGGGTTGGCGGCCCGGCCCCGCAGCCTGACCGGGTCTCTTCTGGTCTCCCGCAGGTTCCGAGCTCGCCGGCCGGCAGCGGCGGCGCCCTCCGGGCAGCTGGACAGGCCCTGCGCCCGGCCGCGCCTCGCCATGCCCGCGGGCTGAGCGCTGCCGCGCGCGCGCGCGCCGCCGCCGCCGCCACCCCGGGCCTTGTCCCGCCTGGCGCGGGGGTCGCGGCGGCCGACCATGGTGCTGCCGCCCCCGGACCGGCGCCACGTGTGCCTGACCACGCTGGTGATCGTGGGCAGCATGGCCGTGATGGACGCGTACCTGGTGGAGCAGAACCAGGGCCCGCGCAAGGTCGGCGTGTGCATCATCGTGCTAGTGGGCGACGCGTGCTTCCTGCTGGTGCTGCGCTACGTGGCCGTGTGGGTGGGCGCCGAGGTGCGCACGGCCAAGCGCGGCTACGCCATGATCCTCTGGTTCCTGTACATCTTCGTGCTGCAGATCAAGCTGTACTTCGTTTTCCAGAACTACAAGGCGGCGCGGCGCGGCGCGGGCGACCCGGTGGCGCGCCGCGCGCTGACGCTGCTGCTGTCGGTGTGCGTGCCCGGGCTCTTCCTGCTGCTCGTGGCGCTCGACCGCATGGAGTACGTGCGCACCTTCCGCAAGCGCGAGGACCTGCGCGGCCGCCTCTTCTGGGTGGCGCTGGACCTGCTGGACCTGCTGGACATGCAGGCCAGCCTGTGGGAGCCGCCGCGCAGCGGGCTGCCGCTGTGGGCCGAGGGCCTCACCTTCTTCTACTGCTACATGCTGCTGCTCGTGCTGCCCTGCGTGGCGCTGAGCGAAGTCAGCATGCAGGGCGAGCACATCGCGCCGCAGAAGATGATGCTGTACCCGGTGCTCAGCCTTGCCACGGTCAACGTGGTGGCCGTGCTGGCGCGCGCCGCCAACATGGCGCTCTTCCGCGACAGCCGCGTCTCGGCCGTCTTCGTGGGCAAGAACGTGGTGGCGCTCGCCACCAAGGCCTGCACCTTCCTGGAGTACCGGCGCCAGGTGCGCGACTTCCCGCCGCCCGCGCTGGCGCTCGAGCTGCAGCCGCCGCCGGCGCCGCGCCCCGCCCCGCCCGCGCCCGCGCCGCTGCACGGCCCGCCCGGGCGCCCTCGAGGGCCCTCGCCCGCGCGCGAGGCCCTGGACACGTGACGGGGCCGGCGCGGGACAGGGTGCGGGCGGGCCGCCGTGGGGCCAGGTGCGGGAGGCGCCCGGGCCGCTTCTTCATCTCAGGAATCCTCGGAGCGCGGACCCTCGGCCCCCACCCGGCTCTGAGGGCGCGCCTCTGCGCCGCCCGGCCCGAGCGGAGGTGGCCGGGCCCCTGCCTGCTCTACCGGGAGGGCCTCGGGGGCGGAGGCCCGGTCCCTGCGCCGGGCCGCTGTGGTTTTAAAGACTCGTGTTTCCAGTTTCGTATCCATGGCCGCTCTGCCTCGCCTGCTTCCTGCGTCGGAGTTGAGCGCCAGGCGCGGGTGGGTGATGTGGGCGGGGCTCTCGGGAGCTCGGGGCATGCGCGAGGGGGTGGGAGACTTTCCAGACCCTGCCCCAGAGGTTCTCGGTGACCCCAGCCTCACTGCACACCCTCCACCCCGGCCCGGCACCGGAGCCTCCACTCTGGGCCGCTGGGGACATCGTGGACACCTCCAGCCCCGGTTCTTCTCCCCCTTGTGGGTTGTCCCCTGGCGGGAGCCTGGCCGTGCCCCTCGCACGGGGGGGGGGGGCAGCGGAACCCCAGCCAGCGCAGCACAGCGCAGGGAAGCCCATCTGTACGTGGTCTCTCCCCTGACGTCCACTCCGGCTGGACGCACCAGGCTCAGCAGTGTCAGTGGTGTCTGGGCGGGGCCCCTGGTTGAGGCTCGGTGCTCGAAACACTGCCCACTGCGCTGGCCTTCGGGCCTCTGGGGCCCAGAGGTGCTGGAGTGGTTGTGTGCAGCGGGCCCCCCCCGTCGCCCCCAGCCGACAGCAGTGGCTGTGCTCAGGGACGACCTCCCAGCTGCACCATTGTGAGAGCCCAGAGACAGAGGCCCCCAGAGGCCACTGCCTCCCGCGGTTCTGCTTGACCCTTCCTCAGGGGCTCCTGGTGGTGTTGCCTGGGGGGCTGGCGTCCACACCCCAGGGGCACTCAGCACCCCGACCTGGCTTCCTCCCTCCCATGGCAGATACCACTGCCCCACACACCCCAGCCCCCCCAGCTGGCTCCTGCAGGTCTACACTGAGGGTCTCCGTGACCGGCATGGCGGGACCCTGGTTCCCCACTGTCCTGGCTGGCTTTAGTGGCACCCCACCCCCACCCAGGGATCAGGACAACGTACAGGCTGCGCCCGTGCCTGAGTAGCTGGGTCCTGGCGCCCCTGTGGCCATGGTGTGGAGCTCAGCTCCGCCTCGCAGTGTGGGAGCCAAACGCCCCAGGGTTCTGTCCTCCGGGGTCTTTGCAACAGGGCAGGGCAGCCGCACTCCAGCCACCTTCCCCTGGCTGCCCGCAATGGCTGTGAGTGGTCAGAGGGGCCGAGAAGCCGGGTGCTGCCCTTGGCCTTCCCCAGTCCTGAGCCTGGGCTGGGGCCTGGGTGGCGTGTGGGGAGGGGTGCTGGGGCCTCCGAACTGACCTTCACAGCAACCGCCCTCCCCGAGTTCCTGGCAGAGGTCTGGGTGCAGCCGCCTGGAGGGGGAGCCAGCGTGTCGGCCCTTGAGAGCAGCATGGCGTGGCTGGTCCCCAGGGGGTGGGCAAGGGGAGGCCGTGTGAGTTCGTGGGTGGTGAGGACCCTGGTGGGAGCTGCCACAGCTCCAGCAGGAAGGGCTGTGGGCAGGCTGAGCAGGGCCTGGGGCACGGGAGGGGGACTGTGAGGACCTGGGGGCCACTGGACATGGGGTGAGGCGAGGAGGGACTGGGGCGCGGGAGGGGGACTGTGAGAAAGGACCTGGGGGCCGCTGGACATGGGGTGAGGCGAGAAGGGCCTGGGGCACGGGAGGGGGACTGTGAGGACCTGGGGGCTACTGGACGTGGGGTGAGGCTGAGCAGGGCCTGGGGCACGGGAGGGGGACTGTGAGGACCTGGGGGCCACTGGACATGGGGTGAGGCTGAGCAGGGCCTGGGGCACGGGAGGGGGACTGTGAGGACCTGGGGGCCACTGGACATGGGGTGAGGCGAGTGGGGGCCACTGGACATGGGGTGAGGCGAGGAGGGCCTGGGGCACAGGAGGGGGACTGTGAGGACCTGGGGGCTCCTGGACATGGGGTGAGGCTGAGCAGGGCCTGGGGCGCGGGAGGGGGACTGTGAGGACCTGGGGGCCACTGGATGTGGAGTGAGGCGAGGAGGAACTGGGGCACGGGAGGGGGACTGTGAGGACCTGGGGGCCACTGGACATGGGGTGAGGCTGAGCAGGGCCTGGGGCGTGGGAGGGGGACTGTGAGGACCTGGGGGCTACTGGACATGGGGTGAGGCGAGGAGGAACTGGGGCGTGGGAGGGGGACTGTGAGGACCTGGGGGCCACTGGACATGGGGTGAGGCGAGGAGGAACTGGGGCACGGGAGGGGGACTGTGAGGACCTGGGGGCTACTGGACATGGGGTGAGGCGAGGAGGAACTGGGGCACGGGAGGGGGACTGTGAGGACCTGGGGGCTACTGGACATGGGGTGAGGCGAGGAGGAACTGGGGCACGGGAGGGGGACTGTGAGGACCTGGGGGCTACTGGACATGGGGTGAGGCGAGGAGGAACTGGGGCGTGGGAGGGGGACTGTGAGGACCTGGGGGCCACTGGACGTGGGGTGAGGCTGAGCAGGGCCTGGGGCACGGGAGGGGGACTGTGAGGACCTGGGGGCTACTGGACATGGGGTGAGGCTGAGCAGGGCCTGGGGCGTGGGAGGGGGACTGTGAGGACCTGGGGGCTACTGGACGTGGGGTGAGGCGAGGAGGGACTGGGGCGGGGTGCGGGTCCTGCGAGGGGCTGGGGGGAGTTGGGAGGGACGTCGAGAGGGTCCTGGGGCTGGGTGGGAGATGACAGGTGGTTGAGGCCTAGGCCCCCTCCCCCCAAGGCACCTCTAGGTCTTGGCAGGGTGGGGAGCTGAGGGCTGCGTCAGGTGCCATTCCACTGCAGGCAGAGACCCTACTGGCTGGGGGCGGGGCCAGATGCCGGGCCCCGTCCCTGTCCTGGCCTGAGGGACATCCTCAGGGGCCTTTCTGGCCCCCACCCAAGGTCAGGTGCCTCCTGGAGCTGTTCTGGAGAGCCCCCCGCAGGTGCCAGGGTCTTCTCCCCAGAGCTGAGACGCCCACCGAAGCCGAGTCCCAGCACCTGGTCGTCGGTGCTCCGGGCAGGTCCATCTGGGGCAGCACCTGGCCTGCTGCTGGCTTCAGGGGCTCTGGGGGTGCTGCTATCTGAGTCGGCGCCCAGGCCACATCACCTCGCGACCCAGCGTGGGGGCCGGGCACCCCTGTGTCTCCCAGGACGGCCTCTGCGCCCCCCCAGGGCAGGGGGTGTGGGCCGCTCTGCTGTGATTTGGCCTTGGTGGTGACCTGAGCCTGCCCCGGGCCTGGGTGTGGGGCGAAGGAATTTGCCACTCAGTGGGGCGGGCAGCTCGAGGTTTGTGGGGGGCGAGGAGGTCCCGAGACGCACACACATCATGCACTGCACAGACCGTGCACACTGCACACACACACTGCAGACACACACACTGCAGACTGTCCTCTGTACACATGCCACACAGTGCGCCCTGTATACACTGCACACTGGGCACACAGCACACGCACTGGGCACACGGCATATGCATTGGGAACACAGTGCACACACTGGGCACACACCACATGCATTGGGCACACGGCACACACACTGGGCACACAGCACAACACTGGGAACATGGCACACGCACCACACAGTGTTCCCTGTATACACTGCACACTGGGCACACAGCACATGCACTGGGCGCATGGCACACACATGGCACACAGCATACACGCTACACACACCACATACACTGGGCACACAGCACACGCACCACACAGTGCGCCCTGTATACACTGCACACTGGGCACACGGCATATGCACTGGGAACGTGGCACACAGCATACACACTACACACACCACATACACTGCACACAGCACACACACTGGGCACACGGCATGTGCACTGGGAACACGGCACACACATGGCACACAGCATACACACTACACACACCACACACACTGCACACAGCACACACACTGGGCACATGGCATATGCACTGGGAACATAGTGTACACACATGGCACACAGCATACACACTACACACACCACACACACTGCACACAGCACACACACTGGGCACATGGCATATGCACTGGGAACATGGCACACAAATGGCACACAGCATACACACTACACACACACTGCACACAGCACACACACTGGGCACACGGCATATGCACTGGGAACACGGCACACACATGGCACACAGCATACACACTACACACACTGCACACAGCACACACACTGGCACACGGCATATGCACTGGGAACATAGTGTACACACATGGCACACAGCATACACACTACACACACCACACACACTGCACACAGCACACACACTGGGCACACGGCATATGCACTGGGAACACGGCACACACATGGCACACAGCATACACACTACATACACTGCACACAGCACACAGCACACACACTGGGCACACGGCATATGCACTGGGAACACGGCACACACATGGCACACAGCATACACACTACACACACTGCACACAGCACACACACTGGCACACGGCATATGCACTGGGAACATAGTGTACACACCGGGCACACAGCACACGCACTAGGAACACGTCACACGCACTGGGCATGTGGCACAGGCACTGAGCACATACCATGTGCACTGGGCACACAGCACACACACTGTGCACACGCCACACACACTGGGACCACACACTGCGTCCTGTGTGCATTGCTGACATGAGCGCCTGCTTCCTCTGACGTCACCCCAGTGACTCCAGAAACACTTGGCAGCTGGGCCCGGTCTATCCCGCAGAGGCTGTGCGCCCACAAGTCGAGTGTGAAGGCCGTGGTCGTGGTCAGCTCCCCACTCAGGTTTCCACACGAGGCAGCCAGGGGCCACCCAGCTTCCTGTTGTCGTGTGCTCGCCCCCCCCCGGGGGGGGATTCCAGCGGCAGAACCCCAGAGGCTCCTGGCCCTTGGGGGCCAGCCCCTGCCAATGGCCCCCGAGAGGAGAGAGGATCTAACGACGGCCCCCTTGGCCCCCTTCTGGGTCAGCCTGCCCTCAGCCGCGGGCAGCACAGGTGCCGTCTGCACGGGGCAGGCACCC